TCTTTCTTTTTTTTTTGTATAAAAATTTATTAAGATTGAATAGAAATCGAGGAATGTACTTTTACTGACAAAATCTTATATATATATATATATATGTATAATCATTCGAAAGAAGAAGAAGAATGAATTAGTGACACATACAGAATGAGAACTCTCATTATTTCTGGAACATAGTTCGACTGCATTTGCATTTACATGAACAAAAAAGTTTTTCTTTCAAAGACTTGTTTAGTCATTTACAAAACTATATATATATAGTTTCATATATCGAAATAATTGAAGTTTGTTTTTTTTTATACCAGATAATATCAACGATCGTTCTAATTGTCATTATGTTCAAAATAATTTCTTTTTGTTTGAACTTTTGTATTGTAAGTGCGAAATTTTAAAATATTTGTTTTTTAAATTTTAACAAAATTTTGACACACATATATTCATCTAATATATTGTAGTTTGTTGAGTTTAAATATAAATTATTAAGTAGCTAACGATCTCTATGTATTAAAGATGAATTTAAAAAAAACGAAAGAAATAATAATCGATTGATTAGTTCATGTCAATTATTGTTAAACGATAATGAATCCTCAATAATCTAAACTGAAGTCTATTAGAACTAACTAGATACAATAGTTTGTTTTGATGTTGTGTATTGAAATGAAATGACAGGTAAAAAGAACATTAATTGAATACTTCAAATATTTATTAAAGAGAATCCCCGGAACAAGATGTTCTTGAAAAAAATTATGATAATTAGGTAAATCCTTTTTTTTTTAATCTTATAAAAACCATTTCAAATATGTAGACAAATGAATAGCAAAGATTTCATAGAGAATAGAAACACAAATCTTTTGAAAAAACATTATTTAAGTCAGTACAAACTTGATGGAGTTTTTCTAGAAATACTAAAAAAAATCAATCTTTATAACTCATCCATTTTATGTAAAATCGAATTTTTAACTTCTATGAAATCAATGACTAACTCTTATTAAATTATTCTATGCATATATATAATTAGTTTCTATTATTACATTCTGTCAATGAAATATTTCCTTCAAGCTATATCTCTTGTAATTACATCTTGAGCTATTCGAAGTCAATTTTACACTCAAAGAAATACTATAAAAATTTGCCATAAAATCTTTATAAGTACATTCAATAGGTATCCAGACTAATTAGGTCTTGAATGCAAAGTCTACATATTATATTATTGTTTCTAGACATGAGACTAGTTGGTCGTATTAATGAAAATTACAGAAAAATTGCTGTAATTCATCTTTATTTGAAGTACTTGAGAAATATTCAAGTGCAATGAAACACGAGAAGTTCTTAATACTTTTGTTTTGTTTATGTTTCCTTTTTTCTTCTATTTCAAAGAATTGATGATTAAAAAGTTCTATATTATCTGTTGCTTGTTCATTTTAGTAGCACAATTGTTCGTTCTAGTTTACATAACGACAGATAAATACATCTGTAGATTATTTGATAATGAGCATCATGAGTAAAATGATAGATATAAAAGTAATTTAAACTTTTTTTTAATTTCATTCATTAACAATTTAAAAAAGAAAAGTAGTAGACGAGAAATTTCCAAAACTAATAATGTATTAATAACGAAATTATTTAAATGATGGAGAAAATGGTTTAGCTATTCTAAAGCCAATAACTTCATATGTAACAATTTTAATAATATATTTCCATCTAATATTTCTTATGCTCATTTTGTTTTTTGTGCTTTCGTATAGTAGTCTATAGTAAGTCAATAGAATTATTAAGTTTTTCGATTATTTAACTAAAAAAATATATTTGAAATAAAGTTTTTTTATTTTACGATAATCTATATTAAGACTAAAGATCTCTATAGAATAGAAGCCCGTGAGGTTGAAGATACCTTTGTTCTGCAAGCTTCAAGTTTGGAAGGTAGCTTGTGTAGAGATAACTTTTTTTGTTAACTAATAGAAATATACATATTGTTGTACTTAACATTAATTGGTATTCATTTTGAACAAAGTGAATCTCTCTTTTCTCTGGAAGATTCTAATCTCGTGGGTGGACTTCCATTCTGTGGAGCGGACTCATAAATATAATTTAAAAAAGAAAAGACAGATAATAGAAATAAAAAATTAGTCTTGACAATAAAAAAAAAAGTATCGAATATTTATCGAAGCGTAAGAGTATCGAAAAACAAAATAAAAGATAATGTAAATTCTTAGAAATATGATTTTAAAGAAAAGAAAAACTTTTTTATTTTTTTTTACTTGCATTTTCAATACTTTTTTTCTTTATTTTAAAGACAATATGTTTTAATCGAAGCGGTTTTTTGCTTTGAAAATAACCTGTTGTTTTTATTCATCTTCTTGTTAATATTGATAATTTCTATAATGACATGTTGAGAAATTTTCATTATCATCTATAATAAGATATGTCGGATGAACACAATAATATGACAGGAAAGAATATTGTCTGCTCATGTCTTATTTGTTTTTAAAGTACTCCCTTCAATCTAATCATTCCAGTTATTATTATTGGTATTTTGTTTTTCGTCTATCTATCTATATATATATATATATGTATATGTATTTTTCAGACATTTTCTCGTTCTTATCGCTACTTCACATTGTTTGCCAGTTGCAAAAATTAGTTCTGAATAATTGATGATGGTAACGACTGCATATATTCTCAAGCATACGCTTCACTGATGTCCGCAGTGATGACATGTGAAAAGGGAAAGAAACGTTATATCCAATCTACTGTCATAGATGCGTTTTAATGATTTTGATGATTGGTTCTTATCAGTGAAAATACTTCTTTTCTACTATGTTTTATCCAGTTTGGGATATATTATAGATTGAAATCAATGTTTTGAATTCACTTCCTGAAAAAAAAAGCAATTTCTATAAGTAGACATAAAACTTCACCAAATTTTACAAGATAGAATTAGAGTAAAGCTGAAACTATGATTAATCAATGTCATAGTGCTGATTCCTTTTCATATGACATTATCAGGTTTTTATTCTTATGTTAAAACGATGTAAACAATAATTAGCATCGTTAGACGAGCAAAAGACGTTCAAGTGTCTATAAAACTAAATACGTGTATACTTAGTATAATCATGGATCAATTTAAGTCACTAGCGTGATGTGGTATATATGTATACATGACAGGAAATAAATGCATCATTATGGATGTAGACCGTGTTCTTTACTCAATGGTTTCCGTTGCATTACGTTTATCCACGTATACTCCATATATAACGTGCTCTAAAACTTAAGATTTCTTATTGTGCATCATCTAGTTTCTTTTTTTCTCTTCAACACTCCTGTGTTTGACTAACGGTAGGCTGTTGCTATAATTATTTTAACATTATAACTGCTAGAGAAATAAGTGATAAAGAAGTATATATATATATATATATATATATATATGATGAACAAAGACCAACAGGATTTTTGTTCATATGAAATCAGTAAAAAGACATGCTCATTAAATGAAAAAAAAACAGATCCCCTGGGTTCAACACATCTTATCTATTTTCTAGTTAGTTTCTTATGAATATTATCTCTTTTTTTTCTTATTAGCTTTTTATCGATATGTAAAAGACGCGAATTTTTTTGCTTCTTGTTTTCTTTTTCTCTACGGCTGTTTGTTTCTAGATATAACCTGTTTAATAAGTAATAGGAAAACATCGACTTCTTCAATTGATTTGTAAGTATATAAGTTTTTCTATCTATAAATCAATAGTACTCATTAATAGAATACAATTGTCATGTAAACTTATAAATATAATCATATCATATTTCCTCAATAAAAAAGAAATCCAAACATTTCTTTTTTGTAATTATATTTCAAACGAGAAAGTATGAAGAGAAATAGAATGATGAAATCTAGTTTTTCTTATTTTTTGTTTTTGATGAAATGTTAATAAAATAAAATATTCCAATTATGTTAAAACGATTATTTTTATTTTACTTGATTTCTATAGTTTATCATAGATTATATTGAAAGGACAAATTAACAGCACATTAAAGTACTTTCTCTTTGTTTTTCTGTTTGCCTAAAAAGAAGTGCGATTTATTGTCTTTCATTATTATATTAGCTATTGACATGTTATCAAGTAATTTAATTGCGGTTTTTGCTTTCGTATATATTAATACGACTATTATTTAGTAGAAACAAACTAAATCAAAGATGAATCTGTATCTGTAAAGAAAAAATGTCGTAAAAAAGAGATGTTCTTTCACAAAATAAAACTTCTATGTTATGTTACAAAAAAGAAACATATTTTATTTTATTTTATTTCAATAAAAAAAAGTATTTAATATTTATATATTCTCTTATAATTGATGGAAGTCATTAAAAGGAAATTTTTGAAGGCGTTTTAAATGACAAAAAGAGAAAAATGAAAATTACATAATTATGCCTTATTCAAAAACATAAGTATGTCTCCTCTAGTGATTAAAAAAATAGAAAAAAATTATTTTCTTGAGTTCAGAAGGACAAAAAGAAGCAACATGAGAGATGTTACTTTTTTTTTTCAGTTTGTGAAACTTGTTAAAGTTGTGAATGAGTGCGTAATATTCAATTTAGTTTTGTGATTTTCTTTTAAATTGTTTACTTCTATTTTTTAGATTTAATTTTCATTGAAGGAGAACGTCAGGTAATATTTGACTAGAATAAATTTAATATCCTATTCAGATATATTGTACAACTTTGTTCATTTGAATAGTTTAGATTTTTTGGAATTCCAAATATTTCGTCTTGAACATTTATATATTGATATATATATATAGGAAAGGTGAAGGAGTTTGAAGTAACTTTTAAATTATCTCTTTTCCTTATAATTATAATCGGAAAAGCAAATTGTTCCATTCCCGTTCATCTTTTTCTTCGCATTTAGAAATTCTATGAAATTTTTCTTTCAAATAATTAAAAAATATTTTACAATAATTTAGATGATATAGAAAAGAATAAAAACAAAAAACAAAAACAAAAATTCAATCCAATGAATAATGAAACAAATAGTCTTGCCTTATTGGCATTTATTTATCGTATTGAAATAATAACATTACCAATATTAATTATATTTGGTAGTATATGTAATATAATGACATTTATTGTTATGCGTCGAAGACGTATGCGTGTATCATCAACATGTTTTTATATGGCAGCACTTGCTGTTACAGATACACTTGTATTATGGACAGGTTGTCTTAATCAATGGTTTTATATTATACATATACCAACTGTTGTTGCAAAATCAAATTTTACATGTAAATTACTTCCATTCTTATTTGTTTTTTTTGCTGATACAAGGTAAAATAAAAATTGAATTACATCTATATTTATTTATTTATTTTTCTATGTAGTGTATGGATTATTGTATGTATGTCATTTGAACGTTATTTTGCTGTTTCACGTCCATTACTTGCTTCACAAATGTGTACAACAAAACGTGCAAAATGGGTAAATTGTATAGTTTTAGTAATTATATATCTCTGTTCTTTTTCTCATAGTACTTATAGATGACACCATTTTTGTTTTTTGAAAAAAAGATTTGTTCTCATTAACTTTAAGATATATAGCCACCAATTACATATCAAGTGTCAGAAATTCTCAGGTTATAATTTAAGAATTTGTCTTATCGAATAGTAGCATTCATATCTCGAATTTTATACTTTGGTAATTTTATACTGTATATAGAAAAAAAAAAGGTCTAATGATATTTTACAGACGTGTTTTCAAAGTTTTTTTGTGCGCGTATTATCCATTATTGAGCTGATATGTTAAGACAAATTTTGAATTTGACCTTTTTAGATAAGTTGAAAATAAAAAAACAACTGCTTAATTAGTATATTAACATTTGAAAAGTTGGGGTCAAACTCTGCTGGTACATATTCAAAATCATTATTTTAGTATTTATGTGTAAATTTTGGCTTTAGGCTTCAATATTTAGTGATAAGAAAGAAATAGATTAGAATCATTTTTTTTTTGTATTTATCAGAATTTATTTCAATGATTAGATTTTATAGATATCAAATAGGGTTGAATCAAGAATGTTCTTAGAATCTTACAAAATAGAAGAATAAAAGGATTGATGATCTATGAAATTATTTTATATTATTGAAGAAAAAAAAAACATGAATTCATGTTTCTTATGACAAGTGTCACATATTTTTTTTTTTCTGAATAGAATTTTATTATGTAGATTATCCTATTGATGAATGACACTAATTATCTTTCGAGATAATTTTAACATGACTTTTGTTCATAGGAAACTAATAAATGGATAAAATTACTGTGATTTTATTATTGACAAATAGTTAGAAAAGCAAGAAAAATAGTAACATAATAAAAAAAAAATTAAACTTATTCTTTGTCAACGAATTTTGACTGTTTTTTCTGAAATCTAAGGAAAATTTTCTTATAAATATAAATTTATCTTTCGAAAAGTTAAAAGAAAAATGATTAATACATTTTTTATGTAATTTAACTTATTTTCATAAAAAAAAAATGAACTAATAATTTGACAAATCTTTCAACAAATTTTACTATAATAGAAATTTTTATTAGAAAAATTTAATTTATTTGTATAAATATTCATGAAAATGAAAAAAAGTTTATTTTTCTATTTATTAACTTTGATCCTCATGAAGAAATTCATTTATTCTATGTTTTCTAATTATTTGTTTGGTTCTAATTCATGAACTCATGGATGTTAATGAGTCTAGAATATGTACAATACTTAAAAAAAAAAGAGATAATGATGGGATGAAGACTGCTATTGATCATCAGATAGAAAGGATAATTATCATAGCACCAATAATTTTGTTAGTAAGAGGCGTGGCATTGTTCCAACTAACGGAACCAGATAGATAGGAATAATGATGGACGCTAAATGATATAAATATCATCACTCATCTGCACACTTGATATAGAGACAAAAAATCAATGTACAGGGCGTTCTATAAATAACACTATGATAAAAAAAGAACAAATTGAATGTCTCCGATTTGGTTTGCTCGAATGGGCACATTTTTCTTAAATCATAGAAGCCTATTTAAAGTTTTTTTTTATATAAATAACCTAACAAATACTGCTATCAAGTTACATATGTTGCCTCACTAATGGTTTCCTTCTCTCAAAAAGATGAAAATTAAGATGAATGCATGAGAAGATAGCCCAAGGTCTAATCTTTCATAGATGACATGATTCTTTTTATTTCGCACCTATTTTTATTTTTACTAAAACTTTTGGTGATTTCTGTCGTCATTTGATTACAAAATAAGTTGATTTTAGAAAAAAAACGAAAATTTTCCGGTTTTTCTATTCGTGTAATCCGAAATTTTCTGTATACCTTCATTCTATTCGTTTAATTCTTGTTTTGCCTAAAAAAATATGCTAAGGTGTAATGCAGTACAGAGTTCTTTCTTTTTATTAAGCTCTGTTTTTATCATATATGCAGATACTTATATAAATAGACACTCATTTCTAGAGAATGTTTTTAATTAATGAGATTGTCACACTTTTCTCCCACTTAATAAGAAAGTATCTAAAAAAGAGTTCTGTACTGCACTGCGTTGTCATATATTCTTTCAAATAAAAATAATTAAATATATAGAGTGAGCCTGAACAGAAACATATGGTTTGCTAAATAAAGTTTTTTTCACCCTTGTTTGATGAATATCTTTGTCAAGTATCATGGTATAGAGTTGAAAATTTAACCATAGCTTCCTCACTAAAGCCTAACATATAGTTTTATTTATAAAGTTCATTTTAATATCTTCTTCTTGTTCTCTTATATGATAATGAAAGATTATTTATGAAGTACTTCATATGTATTTTTCTTACTTGACAATAGTATTATTGTATGTTATTTATATGACAAAAAAGACTTTGAATAACTTTCTACAAGTAACATAAAAATCACTTTACTCGAATGAATAGAATCGGAGACATTTTCAATCTTTTATTGTGCTGCTGTTTATGGTCTATCTTGTTTAATCAAATTGTTCACTGTGTGCTTTCATATTTCTTGAAGATTTACTCTAAAAAGAAACATATACTTCATTAATTAATATTCTATTCTACATCACATCGGAAGATTAAACCACCGGCAAAGAACATCATTTATTTGTATTTATATAAAAATTGAAAAATTTCTCTCGAAATATATCTCATATATGATTTTATTTCTAGCGTATGTGTAAAATCAGTAGAACTCATATCGATATGTACATAAACATAAACGTATCGAATGTTTCAGAAATAGTTTCCAAAAAAAAAAAAACAACAATAATGAAATATCTTCAATGTATTTTGATGAAATAAACTAATCGTTTTTCTTCATGCTAAAGAAGAATTTGCAAATTTTTATTCATAAATCATCAGTTTATTGACACACTTCGAATCTAATATTATCTACTTCAATGAAAAAAGTTGGCCTTTTTTTTCCGGTACTTCCCTCAGTAATCAATTATAAGGACACTAGAATATTCGAAAACTTTTTGATAGATTGAACTCTGTCGAGCTTTTCTCGTTGATCATTTTTTATAAAAAATAATTTCCGGTTTTCATCAACAAATGAGATCCTACTGTCAAAAAAATCACGAACAGTCAAAGTATGCTTGAACTTGAGCATAATTTGACGTTTTTCGTAGTTTTTTTTTTAGTCTTACATCTTCATTTGTTGATAAAAATTGAAAATTATTTCGATTGAAATGATCAATGAAAAAAGTTCTACAAAATGAAATATATCAAAAAATTTTCGAATCCATTTTTTGTCTTTATGGTTGACTATCTTTACAGATTACAATACAATGGAAATGTTCTATTCTTTTTTTGACAACTTATTCCTAATTCACTTATTATTGAACATTGCACGAAGCATGGATGTAGGTGGCACACTATTGCTTAATGAGATGTGGAATTTTGTATTGAGAATAATTGAATTTAATCACTCTCTAAAAACGAGTTATTTTTTGTTGATCAACAAAAAATTTAAAAAAAAAATGATACTCATGTGTATTGTTATTATATTGTTTTTATTGGTCATACATTTGTTAACATCAAATGAAATGAAATTTTCATTTGTCTTCATACAAATTTCATAAGAATCTCATTTATTTCTAAGAAAATAAAATTTAAAAAGAAAAAGGATCAATTAATGAATCAATATTTTATATACAATTGATTCATCTTTTATATATTAAAATTCACTTAAGAGATAATGTAATCATGAATGATTGTTGAAATATACATGAAGATAACAATAAATCTCAAGAATGACAAGAACATTCTTCTAAAATCCTATGCTTAGGATTTCTATTGGCTGAAGAAGTATTTCCATCGCAAGAGATATTCTCATTCTATAGCTGAACTGTAAATTTGACCTGCTACCAAGCCAGGCCAGACTGAAGTATTTGGCCTGTATATGCTATAATATTATTTTTCCTAGAATAATTTGAGATATAAGGTGTAGCCAAAAGCTCATTATTCTGTGAGGGTATGCGTATGGATCATTTCTTCTCAAGTAGTTACTTACATCCTTTTACCTATTCATTATATATTTGATCATATTCTATCACAATTACATTTTTTCCAATTTTGTGAAATCTGATCTTGATAATAGTCTCAAGAGCTCTTTGATAGAAATTGATCTATATAACAGTGTTTTGGGTTAAGCTGGTGTCACTAAACATTTTATTTTAACCTACCTATTAGATTTGAAATTGTTTCATACTGGATTTTATTTCTGAACTGCACCAATATTGTTGAATAAAGTTAATGGAAACTGAATGCCAGAATAGATGGACTCGATTCTCAAAAAGCGAATTACTAACTAGACTCAATTCTCAAAAGAGAGCATCGCTTCTTTGACCCAGTTCATAAAAAAAACAACTGTTTACCGAACTCAGTCCTTGAAAATAAATCGGTTTGTAGAAGTGCAAGCCGTCGCAGACCTACTTTACTGTGAGAAAATATTTTTTATGATTTATCTCTTGGCAGTAATTAATTGTTTTATCCAAGAACTTATCATTATGATGTATAACTGCGACTAGAATGGTATATTATAATGAGATTATAGAACTTATTGATTTTTAAAAAGATTAAAAACATCAATCGATCTGATTTACCCTGCATGTCACCAAGTCGAATCAAGCCGAAAAAGTAGCTTTTATGAATAAGACAGAAGGCTAACAATATAGAAGATCCTTGACTGCTGTATGTATAACAACAAAGAATATTTATAGGATAGTTTAAATGAAGCTTTATAATAATAGAATATGGGTACGAATCTTGTCTTCACTTGCACTCCTATTCTACTACTATAATAACATTGTAAGCATCTATACAATTATCAATAGAAACATGTCTGCTTGTGATTTCTTTACATATATACATCATTCAGTTGATGATTTTTGAAAAGAAAATAAAACTGTTAGTTCTTTTGTGATTTGCTTTTTTTTTAAATTGTTTATCGAAGTGGAGATTACAATTCGTTATTTCATCCATGAATTTCATATATATCATTTTAGTAATGACGAAAATCCTAAGACATTTTCCGTCTTTTATCTTCTTCGATCGAAATTCTTATTATCGTTTTAAATCAAATTGTAATTAAATATGACAAAAATTTTTCATTATTTTTTTTTTATTTCTTATAGGTTTTACTCGTTATGTTTATTGTATTTGCATTAATTGATGGTCATTTTTTATTAACATTAGAATTAGAAATAATCGATGGTCATTATCGTGTATGTCATCCAAAAATGTGGGCAAGACATTTTGTTGGAAAAATATTTGTTTTTATTGATGCATTAAAATATTCAGCAATACCATTTTGTATTTTACTTATATTAAGTATACTTATAATTCAACGAGTTTTTCGTGCTGAAGGTATAAGTGCTCAATTACAAAATCTTCGTCCATTACATAATTATCGACAATATTCAACAACATCAAGTCCAAGTTGTACAACACATTCATCATCATTAGGTATTAATACAGCACAAACAAATTTACTAACAAGTAATACACGAGTTGGTCGTCGTGTTACATTTATGTTATTATCTGTTAGTATTGCATTTTGTGTTTTTTCTGCACCAATGTCACTTATGCAAATAGTACAAAGTATAGCAAAACCTGGTTATCATGAAACACCATTAGCTATTGGTAAAGCTATTGCAGAATTATGTCAATATATTAATCATTCATGTAATTTTTTTTTATATGCATTAACGGGACGAATATTTCGTCGTGAATTTGTTCGATTATTTTTTCCAACACGTTTCGGTACTCAACAAGGTTTTGCTACTGGTGCTCGTATAAACGGTATTGGTCTTAGTGTACGTGCTGGTATGATACCACATGTAGCAAATTCATCAAGTCGTCCTGTATCATTTTATTCAATTGAAAATAATCGTTATAATAGATGTTCACAAAGATCATCTCGACGTTTAACAACATTATATCCTATACGATATAAAAATGAAACAAATCAACAATCTAATCGATCATCTCCAAGACAAGCACCATTTTTATCATTTAATAATACTCCTATATTAGCAAATAGATTTCGTTATTTACATGGTGATAAATCTTCGATACATACAATAAGAAATAATGATGATAACAATAATACTATTAATAATAATAATAATAGTTCATTAGTTAATTTTTGGAATATATTTGGTAGAAAAAGAGACTTAAAAGCGACTAGAAATGGTTCAATATTATTTCTTAATGGAAAATCAACAAAACGTGTAGCATCTACAATGTGATATATATTTAATGAAAAATTCAACCGGTTGTTTTCTTTGTCTCTATGACAAAATTTTGTTGTTTTCGTTGCTTTTTGTTTTGAATTTATTATAGAAAATATTCGGTATGACATAAACTTAAGACAATGCATGGAATATAAATCATGTTAAAGATATCCTTCATATACTTTCGTTCTCTTTCGTTTTTTTTTCTTTAAATATACATGTTGTTTGTTATGATTATCTTTCTCTTACGTTCTGTCAGGTATTTCTTCTTCCCACGGATTATTTTCTTTCGATCTCTTGATTTTATGTAATAAATTAAGTATATTTCAATTGTATTATGTTACTTCTTGGTAAATTCCATCTAATATTTGATGTAAAATACCTGCTGTTTCGATATGAAGGGCGTCTATTTGAATTTCGCCAATAAATTTATTTTACACAACAATATATGATGAATCGATTACTATTTGACAAGACATTTTTTTTCTAAAAAAAATTTATATAGTACAAATTTCATACAATAGATCTTCTAAGAATATGAAAGAATTCTTCGCGAAAGAATTCTAGTCGATTCTAACTAGTGAACTTCGTAGAAAGTTTCTTAAAACTTTGCGATCGTCAAGCACTTTCGAATGATTTTTTGAGATATTCCTTGCCAAGGAAACTGAAATTTGTCTATGCTGATTCTTAAAGTAGACTTTCAGTAGCATTTGTTCACTTTAATCATAGGCTAGTATATTCTAATTGACATGATTAACGCCCCCACAATGTACTGAGCAAAGAAGTGGGTTATATTTGAAAAGAAAAAAAAAAAAATTCTTTCGGCAATAGTTGAAAGTTGACAGCGAACTACCTGTACATTTCCGATTTGCTGAGTGAATGAATAAAAATAACAACTACATGAACCATCTCTGATAACTCCCTGCAGAATTTATGAGAGAGTGCTTAAATTTGCATGTTCAAAACTCAGCAGTAAATTCAAATAAGTATCAATTGTAAAAAGAAGATTTTATTCTATTTATTTAGATGACTATTGAGAACAATTGCAACACTAAGTACTATTTTTAAAATATAAATTACATTTTTCTATTAATGAAAGAAAAATGAACGCATAAGTTATCTCTTACATCATCGATGAGAGGCGTATATGAATAGAATGATCAAAAATAAAATTACGTATGATTGTTCATTTATAATAGTTTCATGTCTCATTATGAATTTTCTAAGACGCCTGCTAGCTTTTTTTCATTCGATCCATAGGGAGTCTTTCACAGAATTCTTGCTGTGATTCTCTAAGAAGTTTTTCAAATGTTTCTCTGAAGATTCTTTTAAGAAACATTAATTAACAAAATGAGAGCCATGATCCTACTATATAGTTCTCATTTGAAATTGATCAATACCGATGTAGTCATAACTAAAACATCCTTTGACTATGGTCAAATATAAAAAATGTTATTAAATATCTTCTATATAAAATAAAAGCAGCTTTATTCAATGATGCTGAGAATCTTATGAGAGTCAATAGAAACACTACAAGTTAATTAACTTTGTATCACCAAAAGAACAACCGGACCATATGATGATATACAACTAATTCTATGTTAGTTGTACAGAACTTCATGAAATATCAATATTTTATTGCTTTGTTTTCGATAAAATGTAATGAAAAAATTTTAAAAAAAAAATTTTTTTTCTAAAAAAATTCTATTTTATTTAAAGGCAAAATATATCTTTCCAATGGTCACTAATAAATCATATGCCTTGTGCAAGTTTTTCAATATCGTGGTAAATAAGAGATGCTCAACCATTGAATAGAAACTCAATAGCAACTATCGAAACGTAAAAGAAGCAATGATGTATAAGTCAAACTAAATATTCTTTGTTAGTAAAATGTTTTGATCGATTATATTATTACTTAGTGACTAAATTGGTGTTTAAGATAAAATGGTTTGTTCAAATCATCACTCAACTAATTAAACCCTATTCTGAATAAAGTGGAATGCATCTGATTATTCAATCCATAACATGATAAACAATTAAAATTTATCAAAAAAATGATGGTTTTGTTTTTGAAAAACGGAATACATCAATAAATGATAGTAAACATTGTTATCTTGTTTCGAGAGTAAAAGAGACATCTAGCAATTACAAAAAATGACATGAATAAGAAAAAAAAACAAATAAACGGCATCTTTCAATCGTCTAAAAACAATGAAAATCTTCTAGACAAGTGTATGAAATTCTACATATTCATTTTGAGTTACATTTGTTTCTGATGATAATGGTGATTCCATGTTATAATATGGACTTTCTAACAATAACAAAAGAAAAAGATTTTTTAAAAATTTAACACTGATCAAAATATGAAATACTTGTTGACAGATTTCTTGGTGGATATGATGATTGATAACTATATTCTTGTCGTAATGGGATATGTGGTGACGGCACTGGATCTATGAATATTTATATATATATATAAAATAAGTTCAAATTTCATTTTTTATTAAATATTTACATCCTGTTTGTTGTGAATTATGTTTTGTTAATAAACGTTCCCTTGATTCTCGATAAGATGTGTCTGTTATTGTAATACCTTCATTCCATTGTAAATAACATGAACGTGCATCAATAGGCGATTCAAAACGAAAACGTATAAAACCTTGTATAGGTGCACGTGTACCTAATTCAAATTCAATATCACGATCATTTATTAAACGTATGGTACGAATTGTTGAACGTGGAAATGTATATTGTTTATCATGATGTTGTTCAAGAACTAATTTATCTGTATCAAATATTAATTCACATACACCACTTGGTAAAGATAAAATTTCTTGAGTTGCTAAATCAGCAAATTGAACACGATATCGCATTGCTAAAGAAAAACAAAAGAACTCTATCAACATTTACCTATCGAATTTACAATAGATTACAATATGATAGATAAAAAGAAAAAAAGATTTAGCGAGACACACGCGATTATCCTGAATATTTTTGACATGTGCCAAACAGAATTCAGGACTCGAAAAAAGTATGTCACATAAGGGTTTATTCATGGCCAATCTTTTTCTTTTTCTGACATAAGTGTTTATTATAAAAAGTAAAAAATTCACTATTTAAACTTTGTTATAATTCTCTTTCATTTTTTTTCTTCTTTACAATATCATGTACCTATTTAATTAGTAATATGAGAATGATTGTCTTTGGTCTTTAATAAACAGTTTTCTTTTTTGGCAATTAATTCAAGGTTTTTATTATTCGTCTGATATTTTCATAATATCAATATTTAAAATTAAATCAAAAGATGTTTTGTTAAAGAAAAAAAAATTTTGTCACGTAATCAAATATTCTTTTCTATTTCTATTTTTACTTACCTGTAGCAGATTCATAAAGCATATTTACAGTTGTATTTTCATCGGGACGATCTTTATTTATTAAGTCCCAAGCAGAATTATAGACACCGTCAAGAAGAACTTTCCATTGATTATATTCATATATATTATCAAAACCAAATCGATGTTTTTTTCCATCAATTTTAAGTATAATTATATCTTTTGGTTCATTTTTATTTATATTTCCATGTATAGAAGTTATTGAATGAAGTTTTCTAAGATCAATGATTTTACCATTGGGTTCATTAATATTATATTTTGAGTGCAATTCAAGTTGATTTTGTTGAATACCATTAACATCAATAAACGAAGAGAATATACAATCATATTGAGTCCATTTATCCTTGAATTTTTGTGATCGAAAGTAAAAAGAAGAAAAAAAAAAAACTTTATAAAAAAAACAGGTCAATAAAAAATAAAAATTTGTCTTATCTACCCAATTAAATATACCATATTTGGAATATTTTAATTGACAACGTTGTCGAATATTACGATTAGTAGATATCATACGATTTGCGAAAGTAACGTTACTCATATTAGATGATATAAGGTAAAAAGAATGAAAAACAAACTCACAAGTTATACTACAAAAGAAAGAGAAAAAAGTCTGTATAAAAGCAAACGAAAGGTAAATATTATGACAAGTTGTGCCTTATATTCAGACAATTTTCTTCTTTTTTTTTTTTATTCTTCCGCATACAAGCAAAAGTAAATTATTCGAATAAATATTTCAAAAATAAATAAGATGTATTTCATTTCAAAGGAAAATTTTAAAACGATATATTTTATTGATATAAATATAAATTTGATTATTATATATGCATTATCGAATTCTTTCAATTTTATATATTACATATTCTCATTCTCTTTGATCTCAATATAATATGCACACCTACTTGAAATAGCTGATATAACCTCTTTTCATTCTACTTTGATTCAAGCAAATAAATGTGTTCAATATTATATACAGATGAATAAATCGATAAGTGAGTGTTGACACTATCGTTAGGAACCGAAAAAAGGAACCTTGAAAAGAAAGCATAACAATAATATAATTTTAATTACATAGATAATGATTCAAAAGTTTCTGGATTATTAAAAACAAAAAAACATGTTTATAGCTTTTGATAAAAGAAATAGCAAATAGTTTATTATTCAAATTATAATTATTAATCTTGCGCGTTTTTTTTTTTTTTTTCGTTTATCTATATTGATTAAAAAAAACTATAGATATATACCTACAAAAGTATTTCTATTACTTTTTTCATTCATCTTCTCATCATTTTCATATATATAGTCACATTGTATTTATGTATTGCTTTAAATTAAATCTTAATTCAATATATTATCTTGAACAAAAAAATAAAAATAATCTATAGAATATGATTTTAATTCAATTATTAATTAATAAACAATATTTAATAAATAACAATAGAGTATATCTTATATTTGAAAATAAAATCTCAGTATTCAATGAAAAATTAAAATTTTAATGCCAATCAAATCGACTTTATTAAGAAAAAGAAGTTTTCATAATAAACAGAACTTCGTAAGATTATTCTGAGAAATGATTACTATATAACTATATTTATTCAAATCATAGGAACATATAATACATTCTTCAAATGATGAAAAATCATTATCAAGAAAAGGATTAGAATTTCTTGCAGTAAGCTACTTAAAGAACTTTGTTTTTTTTTTTCATACAATAACGAAAATCTTAGTTTAATTTTTCGAATATTTATATATCATTAGTATGACAAAAACTGAGATTTAATAGTGAAATAAAGTCAGAAATAAATATTGTATCTTTATCTAAAAAACAACTAATAACGAATTACTATCGATCATCAAGAAACGTAGATATGAGCGAGAAGAATTTTGATTATTTAACATTGAGATGTGATCAACTTTTTATGAGCATGCCATTAATCAAGTAAATTTCACATAGTTTTCTATAATTTACTTTTTTTTTTTCTTTGCTCTCAGAAGATTACATCATTTGATTTCTTATCAGATAAAAACTAACAGGAATAGTCTAATCTGATATGATCGAACAGTTTTATAACAATGAAATTACATGAGTCATAAATCAAAAAAAAATAAAATAAAATGAAATTTAGCAGAAAATCTTGGCATAAAAACAATATATATCATTAAAAATCGATAAAAGTTTTTCTTTCTATTTGACATAATGTAAATATGTGATTATAGTTGTTTTTTCTTTACTGATCACATCTGTAAAAAATATCAGCTTATCTGTCATTGACAAACTCAATTAATAGCCATAAGTGAATAATCAATGCTATTGATTAGGCATCTGACCATGAACAACATCTTGTACTATCATCACCAGTTATCGTTCAAGAACAGCAACAATCAAATGTACCAAGAGATTTTCTCAATGAACAAGAATTTTTGTCATCAACTGTTCCAATCGAACATTTAATTATTAACACAAATAAAACAGATATTCTATCTTCTGTCATCCGTATTGAACGGTCATTATCTCCATCTCTTTCACAACTGATTCCAGATCCGATTATTAATGACAAACAGACAACAAATAGAATTTTTAATCAAAAAAATTCTATACATTTTACATATCCATCTCAATTTAATACAATAATACCTGTATGAATTCAATTAAAAATTTTCTCCTAGAAAAACATCAATCTAATTTTATTTTTATATTACTTTTTTTTTTTTAAGATTGATTCTTCATTAAAAAAACATTCCAATTCTATTCATGATGATTTATCATCATCATCAAATAATATACGTTATTATCAAATTGGTACTATATTTACTTCAACAAGCACATTTATTATGCATCAAAATGAAGTTATTGCTCAGACAACTAGATCTGATCGTTTTCTTTCAGACACTATTTTCATTATTTTAATTGCAACTCTCACAATAATTATTTTACTCTTTTGTTTAGTTCTCTTTTGTCTATGTCGTCGTACAACTAAACGTAATATATCACCATCATTTGATGGTGCTTGTTACATAGGATTAAATGAACATTCATTAGAAATACCTTGTGATAATGATCAACAACGAATATCTAAATATGAAAATGATCTTTCTTATATAAATGATATTCCATCATCATATATACAAACAAAGTCATCCATCAATCATCCATCATTGATAAATAATGATAGAATTTCTTTACATAATGTTATAAAACAAAAGTCAAAAATAAATGAAAAAAATTTAAAAAGAAAACGTCTTAATAATTGTTGTTATTGTTGTTGTTCTAATTCAAAAACAAAATCTTCATCAACAAAAATTAATAAACGAAATCGAATGAAAAGAAACGAAATATAATTTATATGTTACGATTATTTATTTATATTAAAAAAAACTTAAAAAAAAAAAGAAAAAACATAAAAATAGATGTTAAAAAGTTTCAAATCCTTTTCTTCCTTTAATCTATTGATTGTTTTTAATTTAACTTTCATTTTCTTTTTTTCTTGTTTTGTCACATATCAATCCTTTTGATTGAACACTCTAACATGTGTGACCGTTAAACATCCGGTCGACCTCGCGTTCATATACAAAGCCAAACAAAGAAGTAGAAGAAACTAATAATTTACAACAGACTTCCTTTTTTTTCTCTCTCTCTCTCTTGTCATCAAACAACAGATTGACCTTCTTAAAAACTATCAAGTGATGAGTATATATGTATAGCAGTAGCAAGTACCACTTATTATTTGTTTGTATGAAAATTAACAATCATTTTTTTTCTTTGTTTTGTTTTAATTTTGAACAAATAAATAATCAACCATCATTTGGTTATTGTATGGTACATTTACTTTTTTCTTTTTTTTGCTCTCAATCTTTCCTTGAATTGATTGACAATATACGGGATAGGGTTGTGGATGGCCGCCATCTGTTTGCTTCTTCCTTACTTACTTAGTTATTCGATTCTTTCTCATTTCTCTTTGGTGTGCAAAATGTCAATTGAGCGGTCACAAATATATAAGCTAATGTCGGTTAGATCCGTTCACAATCGATCATCACTCAGCATGCAACATAGAACAAAATTGATAGTCACATATAAGATCAGGTGTCTTTTTTCTTATTTCTAGTTTAGAGAATTCTGTGAATCCTAAGGGAAATGACAAAAATGGAGACATTATCGTTTTCTTTTTGCTTTTAAACTCTAACACTTCATTTGCTTACAGATACATACATACATGCATATATACATATACGTACACACACATGTTGCTTTAATCATCGTCATGCAAGCAATCCAGCCTTGACCCTAAACAATCTTCACGGCATGTACAATGATTTATGATGATTGTCCACCGGTCATCACTAGCAATCATTTAATACTAATCGACTTTTTTTTCTTCACACTGTCTATTATCACATCACCTGCCTATCTATAGACATATGTCGGTAAAATTCATGCTGTGACATTGAATTTGATGATCACTACCTTTTGAGAGATTCACTTCATGCAAAACTAGTAATGGTGACGGTCTATAAATGTAAAGCAAATGCATAGGTATATACATAATCAATGAACATCAAAAAAAAAAAAAAGAAAACGAAGAAGAATAGATGCTCATGTTCACCCATTTTTCGCTTGTTCGCTCGTGCGCAAGTGCCTTACGTAATCATATCATCATCGAATAAAACATATATCCTTGATAGTGTAGGCACTCGCATAGGCTTCGTAAAACGAAGTTACAAAGGCAGTCGGATGCGCACGTCGTATAGGATTATAAAGCGATGCTTCTCAACCATCACTATACTAAATTCATTATTATTGCATCATAAACCTATATATGTTACTTTAACGGTTAACGTACGTATCTTATTCTTCTACTTCTTCATCTTCTTTTTTTTTACTTCAGACTCTCTCATCTTTTACTATCATATCATGAAATTGACCCTCGACCGACTAACTTCTCTTCGTCCATTTTTTTTTATTCTGTTGAAGATGATGAGTGATAAAAGAGATGAAAAAAAAAAAAAAAGAAAAAAAGAAAGAAGTGCTTAGTTGAGTGCTTATTTAGTTGTACAATTGAGAAGCCTGTATTTATAATGGAATTCGTTAAGAAGTAGACTAGTGAATGAAATTAAACATGCACAAATTGTATTTTTGTCGTGCTAGACTTTTAAATGAATTCGAATGAAATACAATGAAAAAGGTTTCACAAGCATGCATAGAAAAAAAAAAGCGCCATTTCATTGTCAATATTATTATTATTAGTAGTAGTAGTAGTAGTAGTTTCATGACAAAAAAATCAAATTATCTACAAAAGAAATTATATATTGAAAATAATAAGTTAGATGACTTTTCTAATTTAATAGTAAACGAATTCTAAATTATTATTAAAATTGATTATTATTATGTTCGATAGTAAATCTAAATAAGAAAACAAAAAAAAAAAAAGATGAAGTTTGAAAACGCTCATTAAAAATTTCATACATATTCATATTTTAAACAACTAATATAATCAAACTTTTCACACTAGTTTAATCACTGAACAGGTGATACATATGACACATGCAATGTTATATCCCTAAGAGATATGTGTGACTAACAAGGAAATTATCATCTCACATCATGTCGTTCTGGTATGTATAGATAGAAATCAAATATAAGATATATTGTTAGGTTTTTTGTTTTTTTTTGTTATCCATTATTGGTTATACTATAATTCATATAGTATCATATGTATACTAGTCAATCAATAAGTAGTTCTAATATAAGACTATGTATAATATAAAAACATTCGTTGTTCTTGCATGCTTTTGTTTTATAGGTAAACAAAGCAATAGCAGACATAGAATTTCTCATGTTCAATGAGTGTCTGAACAATCGATATAATATATAGTATACGAGAAAGAGAAGAAATATGAAACGATGGTGTGTTGTATGTGACGCGACTAACATATCGATAAAGATGTCTCGTTCAACCCTATTCAATGGATCAAGGTGACCCATCCGAATTGAATGAAGGTAGTAATTTGTTCGACACGCGTCTTATTAGATATAGTGCATACACATCTATTGCACATCGATACATGCAAACGAACATTAATAAGATAGAAGAAGAAGATGGTCACGTCAATGTGTTCGTCCATTACTATCGTCATTGATCTATCTATATCTGTTTTAAACAATAATAATTTGACATTGTATATATATATGTCTGTTCAAAAAAAAAAACTATTCATATAAAATATAAAAACAAAAAGTCTTTCATATGAAAAGAAACCTGTAGTAGTATCCGTTTGGTCTTTTTTGATTGAACTAGATATTTGCCGAGATACGATTTGTACTCCTAATTAGCTCATTGACACATACCGCCAGCATTTTTTTTTTCTCTTTCGCTTTACTTGCTTCACATATTCTGAATAAAGAGAAAGAGAGAACACCAAAGAAGAAGAAGAAAAAAAGAGAATGAATAGAAGTTGAACAAAACGGGCGCGACGATAGTAAGACGGTCGTCGATGTATTTTTTCTCTTCTCTTCTCTTCTCTTCTGTTTCTCTCTCTTACTCTATTTCTTACAAACGAACAATTGTCCAGTTCATCGCCAGTCTAGTATACACACATCTTTTTTTCTTTCTCATTGGAATAGATGAGTGTGTATACATATGTGTGTGTCTTGAGAATTTGATAATGGCACTACATTTTCTCTTGTTTTATTTTTTTAGATTTTATATTTATCTTAAAAAGTTTTTCGAAATCACGGTTTTTTTTAATTTCCCTATGTATGTCTTCATTACATATCTCAATACTTTTTACTTTATTGACAATTATAATTGCCGATAATAAAACGTTTTATTTCACAAAATCAAATTATGAATTATGGTGTCAAGAAAATATTCTATCAAATTCATTATTTCTCTATCCAAATCGAATACCAATAGGTATATATCGTACATCAAATATTAAATCTGTTATTTATTATCTTATTGATGATAATAATAATGGTTTATTTCAAATAAAAACTAAACGTTTAGCTGACTTTTATTTTCTTATTATTAATATAACACGTCCATTTGATATTAATAGAGAATATCAAGATGTTTATACACTACGTATTGAAGCAAATATTGTCACAACACAAGAAAATCTTACTGAACAAACAGAAGTAAGAGTTTTATTTTATCAAAGTTATAAAACATTTTTTTCTTTGTTAAATAGGTTCGTCTTTATGTTGCTGATTCGAATGATAATGATGGAGTATTTGATATGGATATCTACGAACAAAATTATACCCAAATAATTGACATTGGTCAATCATTGATACAATTTCATGCGAGTGATGCTGATGAAATTCAACATGCACAAATATTTTATGAATTAGCATCATCTTTAAATGAAACATTTTCTTTACATCCATATACAGGTGAATTATATTTAATAAGTAAAGAAAATTTAAAATCTACATATGAATTTGATATCTATGCATATGATCGTTATCGTAAACGTCTTGTTGATAATAATATGAAAACTAAAACACATGTTAAATTAAATTTTAATCAAATAAATTTTTTAAATAATAATTTTAATGAAACTTTTGAAACAATATTTAATCAAACAATTCAATATGAAAAATTAATAACAACATATGATATTGAAATAAATGAAAGAAAATCATTTCATTTATTAAATATTCATCAACCAATAATAACAATAAATATAAAAAATTTTAATGAAAAATTTTTTGAAATTTTTCTATTAAAAAATTCATCATTAAATACAAAAAATTTATTTATTTATAATAATAATATTTATTTAAATAAATATTTAATTGAAGAATATAATTTACAATTATTTATTTGTTTTAATCATGGTTATGAATGTCAATATATAAAATATCGTTATATACCATTAATTGATTTTAATTATTATCAATTTCATTTTAAAACAATGAAAAAAATTTATTTAGATGAAAATTTACCTGTTGATTCATTTATAACACATATACAAATTGATTATAATCAAATTTCATATCAACAATCATTAATTATAAATTATAAATTATTAAATGATGATATTTATTATCAATTTTATATTAATTCTAAAACCGGTATATTACGTCTTGCTGAACGTTTAGAATATCGAATATATACACTTGATATACAAGCTAATATACATTTATTTAATCGTCGTTATTCAATTGAAACAACAATAGAAATACATGTACGAGAAATAAATAAATATCGTCCAATATTTCGTAATAATACACCAACAGATTTATTTCAATTACCATATCAATTTGAAGCATATGATTATGATCAAAATAAACAAACAAATGGACGTATAACATATCATTTATGGAATTGTTATAATAATTGTCCATTTCATATTGATCCAAATAATGGTATATTAAATTTAAAGAAAAATCAAGAAAATTTTGATAGAAATATTATTTATTATTTACGAATTATTGTATTTGATTGGGGACAACCAATTAGTTTTCAAAGTAATCTTGATATTCGAATTGATTTATCATCAAGATTAAGTAAAAGATCTTTACAAAGAACACGTGCATATTCAAGACGATGGCGAAAAAAGTCAACATCTCTATTATTAACAACAACATCAACAACAACAATGATTACAGAACTAAGGTTAGATTTGAATTTAAAATTTTTATTTCATTACATTTAACATAATAATTATTATTCAAGCAAATACTTTCTTTTTCTTTATGGTCAGCAATGATAATAAACGAAAGTCAAAGAGAAAAAAAACATCTGTTAGTAGAATCCCTACGGGATTAAAATATACAACACAATGTTACTGTTGTTGTTAATCATACGGAAATTGTTTTATTCTATTTATTTTAGGACACATTGCTTTACCATCTCACTCTCTCTCTCTCCAGGAATGTAATAAGGAAGTAGTTCATATTCTCTAACGAGGCGTTAATCTCTGATCTTATATCAACAATGTTCATCACAGGAAGAGTGAAGAATGTCCTTGCTTTGTTGTATGCTATGCTGCTTAGCGTTAGATTCATTGGCCCGATAAATTTCTGACAATTCCGATTAGCTACGGTTCTGGACAGAGAAGGCCAGTTTAGCATAGAATTCTTACATTCGATTGTTTAAGCTCTCTGTACACATTGACTAATCATACACTAGCGATGAGTGTACGCGTTTGTTACAACTTAGTCAGCATGCTATCGGGCAGGTGAAGACAAACAAGTATTAGTGATTTGCCCTAAGTCATTCTAGAACGTACGCTACTACGGTTTTTAAATTTATGGAACAAGAAAGTCACGATGAACAAGTTTTACAAAAAAGAAAAAGATTCTCCAATAGTTTTTCATGTTACTATCGAAACCAATTTCCTCTATGATATATCTTCAATTTTATAATGAAAATTGAAGTTAAAAGTTTCCTTTCGATGATTATCATCTTGTTCATATAAGAGAAAAATTCCTGATCTCTTGTATTTGTTCCAATGAGATATATATACAATATGATCTCGGTCTCAACGGAACAAAAAAAAATGAATAATTCTCATATAATCTGATCCAATAATTATTTGTTCTAGTACATATAAGACAACTGTACCTTCACATATCGATACTGTTTATTTAAATGTTGGTTTTCGTCAAAATTTGACAACATATTATATATCAGAAGATATTGAAATAAATACAATAATTGATCGTTTAAAAATTGAATATGATTCATTTCCATTGAATATAAATAATGATAATGATAATATATTTTTCTATAATATAAATGATACAAATGTACCATTTATAATTGATCAAAATGAAAAATATTTAAAATTAATTGATAAAATTGATCGTGAAAAACAAACAAAATATATATTTGAAATCGAACTTAAATTAAAATCAATTTATTCAATTAAATTACAAGAACAATATTATTGTCAAAAGAAAAATTTATTTATTAATTTTCAATATACAAATAAATATTATCAAAAAATGTTAATTATTATTTATATTAATGATATTAATGATAATATACCAATATGTAATCATTTTCATACACATATAAAATTAAATGAAAATGAAATACAAAAAAATATTTATCAAATTCAAGCATATGATCCTGATTTAGGTAAAAAAAAAAATTCTTTTCTATAATAGAAATTAAAGATAATTATTTGATATTTTTCTTTTTTATCTCTTAGGTGAAAATGGTACAATAAATTATTCTTTACTTGATTATAATCAATATTTTTCTATAAATTCTTTAACAGGACAAATTGATTGTATAAAATCAATAGATTATGAAGAATATAGATCTATTGATTTACATATAATCGCATCTGATCAAGGTTCACAAATTCAATATCAAACAATATGTACAACAGTTCATATTACAATAAATGATCTTAATGATAATATACCACGATTTTTATTAGATAATTATATATTTTATCTTTTTTCTGATATGCCACGTTATTCAATATTTGGACAAATTATTGCAATAGATTTTGATAAAAATGATCAATTAATTTATTCAATTAATCCAAATCCATATATAACAATAAATATGTATACAGGTCATTTACGTTTAAAACATAATTTACATCGTTTACTTGATCAAATCTTAAATGTAACTGTTCAAGTATCAGATGGTTTACATAAAAATGAAACTTTAATATCAATTTATATTAAATCATTTCCTGATGCACAACAACCAATACTTTTATCTGAACCAGCATTTGGTATAACAATAAATGAATCATTACCTATTGATTCAACAATAACAAATATTTATCGTCGATTTCAAATTCTTTCATCAACTATTGATTTTATTGAAATAATTCATGATGAAATAAAATTACCATTTTCAATTGATCAACAAGGTATGATGACGTTTTTCTTTCTTTTTTTTCTTTTTTTTGATTTTTCAATCAAAAAAGGATTTTAAGAAATTTAATACACATTCAGATTTAGTTTATGATTTTATTTTCAATCATACATTACTTTTCTTTTTGTTAACAATTCTATTCAATTTATATTCATTTCTGTCATATTGCATACTAATTTATTGTTCTCAGCTTATATCTTATATTAATTCATATATGTATATATATATATACGTATATTTTTGTCGTCTCAGGATAATGAAACGACAATTAGAATGTCTGCATGCATGCATGCATACATACGCGTGACCGATGGTGTACATCATTATACAGTCAATTCTAATTTCCTTTCTTTAATCCCTTGTGGTAATGCGTGTGGCAACTAACGTCGGCTATGTTGGTTTGATGCATGTCTGAATAGAGATTGCTGCTGCTGTTGTTGTTTTACATGTCATCAATTGATATGCATTGTGAGAATAACAGCTGCTCCTGTTTCTCACTCATTTATTTCTGCTACTGAGTTGTTCTTCATTGGACACTAATTACCCATCGAATCTATTCACTAATCGATAGAAGATAAGCATTAGTGATTATATATATATATCTTTTTAAAGAACACATGCTCATCAAAACAAAATAAAAAGAAAAAAAAATAGACATTTATCGAGACCATCTGTTCAATTAAAAATACATCTGAAAAACAAAAAAAAAAAATTAGTTTGCAAAAGAAAATCGCAAAACGAATGATTAAGTTTTCAAGAAAATATTTATTTTATCTGATTGAATTTTATGAATGTCAAACGATTCAAATTACATGATCAATAAAAGATAATCTAGATCAGTAGACGATTTTGATTGATATGATCAAATGACATCCTGTTAGTATGAATAAATTTTGTCAAACAAATAAGGTCATCTTATATTTAAGAGTTGATTGGATGATTTTTTGAAATGACCTTTATAACTAAAGACAAATAACATGATTTTTATATTTTTCTATTAAATTATTTATTCTTATTAAATAGACACAAGAAAATGAAATATAAATTATTCTTTAATCATATATATTTCATATTGCATGTCGGAATTCTTTATCATATGATCAAATAAATTAATTCTAACAGTGAAAATTACTGTCAGATGAAATAAATATCAAAATAAATTATGTTAACAATGAGTTTTTCTAAAATGAAAAAAAAAAACAGCTGCTTTTACTGATAAGATTTATGTAGGATTATCCTATCCATCAGTACAGATTAGGGTAAAATTAACAATCTAACAAGAACAAAAAGAAAAATCATATAATCAACAAGGTCATATTATTATTCAATCATTCTCAGGTATCAATATACTGAATCAGTTATCAATAGGATATCTTTTCGATTGTTCAATTATAAGTACATCACAAAATCTTAGTTGTGTATTCTCTTGAGAATTGTAATCAGCTGCGTAATGTTTGTGTGAGATATTGTTTATATAAAATCAAAAGAATTCTCGAACAGTATTATTTTTAATATTGTTCATTTTCAAAGTTTTGTTTTTTCAACTAGATCATAATTACGAGTTCTCTAATCTATATCTATTTTTAGTATAGAATAAAATTCATTAATATTAAAAATATTCTTATTCATAAAAATCTTTATTACTAAAGTGTTGTCTCATTTTGTCTAAAAGCACTCGATTATAGAAGTATCATTAAAGAAAATTTAAGTATTTCTCTTGAAAGAAAATTTGTCTATAAAAAAAAAAAAAAAGAACAAATCATATTTTATTTCAAGGTTATCTTCGTTTAACACATTCTTTAATCGGTTTAATACAATCATCATATTGGTTACCAATACGTTTAACACGTTATCGTGCTCATCCACCACATACATATGTTCATATACACATATCAATTCGACAAGAAAATTTTTATTTACCACAATGTATTAATATATATCAAAATGTAAAAATATATGATTATTTAATTGAATATCCATTTGCACGTATTGAAGCTACAACAATAAATAAAAATTCATTTATTGAATATACAATTATTGATAATGATAAAAATGATAAAATATTTTCAATTGATAAACAAAAAGGTTTTATACAATTATTAACAACAATACAAAATAATCGTCGATTAAAATCTGATTATTTATTAATAATAAATGCATTAGATAATCAATATAAATTATCAGTTAATTGTTATTTAAAAATTCATCTTATAAGACGACAACAATTAATACCTAAATTTATTTATTCATCTATTTATAATATTGATTTACCTGAAATACAATATCATAGTGGACGATTAAGACAACGTTTATTTCAAATTATTGCATTATTAGATACTCATGTTTATGATAAAAAACTTGAAATACGTTATAGAATTGTTGATTCAAATCAACATTTTATTATTAATCGTCAAACTGGATATATTGCTGCAAAACAACCATTAAATCCTTATACAATATATGAATTTCATGTAAGATATTCTTTTTTTTTTTGTTCCTCTGAGATAAGACTATAAACATAATCATATATAAAAAAAATATGTTATCTAAGTTTTCTTAACCTTCACATGACTATCATATGGGATTTGTATGTACTCCAAGGGATAAAATAAATATAACATATAAAGTTATTATTAGTTTATCATATAATATTATGAAGACTTAATTACAAGAAAAACAAACATAAAAAAATAGTTAGTTTAAACTAGACCTCTGTTCTTTATGATCGTATCATTATCTATATTCGAGACGTTTTGAAATCATTCATCAATATTTACAGATACATTGAATTGCTCTACATAAAAAGAACGATTGAGTTCGATTAACTAATGTTATCAATGTACTACTAGACTAAGTGCTCTTGTTGTATACTTAAATAGACATGGTTCGATTAAATGTTATGCATATATAATAGAATAATGAGTCTCATTTAAGTACGGATGAATTCTGAGTAGTCAAGAAAAGTTCATATGTATTTCCGGAATGATCTATTCACATAAATAATAGCAGAAATTAAATGAAAGATAAATTATTTTGTCTAAGATTGTATACTGATAATAGTATGATGGAGTTCGCACCGATCCCAAGTGATTATATGAGATTTAATTTATTTGAAATATTGAAAAATTTCATAGAAAAATTAAATATTCAGAAAATATATATTAACATATATATAAATTGTAAAATAATATATATATAATTTCGAAGTGAAAGAATAAAAGTGTATCTATAGAAATTATGAAAGGATGTATATATATTTCAAGTCAAAAATAAACAATAAATATAAGATAAGTCCTATCAATCCTCTCATAGTATTCTAATGAAAAACTTATAAGACTTGAATACTTGGTGGAGCTATTGAATTTTCTAAAAATCGAAGAATCTCAGACAAAACCATATGGCAGATGAATGTAAAAGCTGATGTTTCTTGGAAGGTTTCAAGTCATTATGCAATACATTTTCATGATAGACTTAAAAAATATATAACTTGATAAATGTTTTCATCAAATTTTTTTTTTTTCTCCCATTATTTCTATTGTTTTATTTAGGTTCAAGCATTTACAGTTGCACATCAAGATGATATATTATCTGATGGAAATGAAAATGATGATGATGAAAATTCTTATCAAAGTAAATCACGTATAGTTTCACCACGTAAAATTTTACCAATAAAAATTCGTATATTACCAATGATATCACTTAATAAATCATTATTATCAACAATTGATTCAACAATAAATATTGATATATTAAAAACAACTGAAGTTGGTTCAACAATTTTACATCTTGGTTTAAATAATCGTTATAATAATACACAATGGTTTATTATGATTGGACATATACGTCATACAAGATATTTTCATGTAGATTTTCAAACAGGTCATTTAATACTTATACGTCCTATTGAAGAATTAATAAATCAAACAAATATAATTGAACTTCGTATTAATGTAACTAATGATTGGATTAATATGAATACAATTAAAGTATAAATATCAAAGAAATTATTTTTCTAAAAAAAATTTTTTTTCTTATGTTTTTTACTTTTAAGGTTATTGTTCGTATTGTAAATAATCGAATTCCATCAATTGACTTTGCTCAAAAAGATTATTATAGTTCAATATCAAAAAATATTCCAATTGGTGCTGAAATAGCACGTTTAACAATTGAAAATTCGTCAGATGATTGTATTTATTCAATTGATTCAGTTGAAAGAATAAAATCTTATGATTTATTTCGTATTAATTCATATACAGGTTCAATAACTGTTAGTAATTCATTAGTAAATTCACCAAGTCATACACATCTATTAAAAATTATCTATCGTTGTGAACATAATTATCATATAGCACATACAAATTTACATATAAATATACTTGATGAAAAAAATTCATTAAATCAAACAAATAAATCATTTCGTTTTAGTCAAGAAAATTATTTAATTATTTTTGAAACTTCACTAATTAAAAATCGTAGAAAATATTTAATGGATTTTGAATTAATTAGTAATAATGATCATCAAATAAGAATAAAACCTGATGCAAAAATTCTTCAAGGTAAATTTCTTTTTTTTTTGTCTATGAACTTTTCAAACAGATATTTGTAACGTTCATACATCTTAGGAAGTTTTTTAAATTGATTGGTCGTTTATGAGTCGAGATCATTTGCATCATATAGATACGAATAAGCTATGAATATCATGAAAATAACTTGGGCTCTTGTCTTATTATTGCAGTACCACGAAGGAACACTAGGAAAACTTATTTTTGAATTTCAGTTGGAAACTTTGCATAGAGACTGATCTTATTATTGAAATTTGAGAAAAGAATTGACCTAAAAAAATACATCATATCAGTAACAATAGACTAAGGGTCTAATTTGTTAGTGTCTAGACGATGTATATAGTCTGTACTATAAAGTAAATAATCAGTTGAAGGGTTTCCCTTACAAGTCTTTACGAAATATGAAGCTTTACAAGAAATAAATGTTGGTTAAATTCGTCTATGAAAAAAAAAGTTTATACTTTGAAAATTCTATATCTTGAAGTGACTTATGAGGGAACATTTCCAACTGTCACATTGCTTTTGAGTCGAGCGTATGCGCATCCCGTAGGCTCTAATGATCTATGAATACTCCCAACAAAGTTCGTGCTGCTAGCTTATTACTGCCGAGATATTGCATTTTTACTGTATGTTTAAGCAGAAAGCCGTGGTCCCCCTCAGGAACACTAGGAAAGCTGAGTTTCGAACTTCGACTTGAAACTTTGCATAGAGATAGGCTTCAATGAGAATAGTTTTGTGAAAATTTCAGATCTTTTCGTTGTTCCTATCCTATGATACAGCTATGGTAAAATCACTGATATACACCAGCAGATTTCGATATTCTTATTTCAGATCAGGAGTAAACAAAAGATCTGAAACTTTTACAATAAACTATTCTCATTGAGGCCTCTCTCTGTGCAGAGTTTCAAGTTGAAATTCGAAACTCAGTTTTCCTAGTGTTCCTGTGGGAGACCACAGCTTTTGTTCTTAAACATACAGTAAAAATGCAATATCTCGGTAGTAATAAGCTAGCAGCACGAACTTTGTTGGGAGTATTCATAGATCATTAGGGCCTATATGATGCGCATACGCTTGACTCAAAAGCGATGTGACAGTTGGGAATGTTTCTTCGTTAATCCAAACAATTCTGAAACTTTTTACGTATGTTTATCCAATTCAGATCTTCAGCTGAGCAACGTTTCAGATCGAATACTTGTTAGATTTCTCATGATGATCATGGAAATGTTATTTGAGATTTGTAGTATTTTCACATTTAATGTGAACTTTTTTCGTTAGTTAGAATTATCATCGAAAATAAAATTTATCATAAGAACTTAACTAACAATTCTTCATTTCAAAAATCTTCTAGTCAATTTTTTTGCTTTTCGGATTAAAGTCAATAATCTTGATAATTTAATTTATAATAAAAAATATTCATACAAAAATGAATGAGAAACATATTATTTAAAGAAAAATTTTAGATATTGATTTTGAACAATATTAAAATTAACTTTTTCTTCAAAAAAACTCCTAATTATTGAAAACAAAATCTTCAATAACTTATTATCTTTTTCTAGGTGATCCATTAGGTTTATTTTCAATTGATTCAACTAATCAATCACTTATTCTTCTTGATGAATCACTTGCTCGTTCATATATTTATCCAATAACTTTAACCATAATTGATATATCACAAAATGAATTAATTAATGCAACCATAACAATTTTTATATCAAATATTGGTATACATTTTCCATGTCCATCTTATCTAAAATCTTCACCATATATATTTACTTATGAATCTTTATCATCAAAAAATCTTGATTCTTCAACTAATTATGAATCTAAATCAATAATTATTCGTGCATTTGATCCATTTACATCAATAAATGGTGAAGCATCAAATCAAGCTGAATGTATAATTAATAATGATATTGAATATTCAAATGATTTTCAAATATATAATCATAATTTTATATTTGATAATGAATTTTTAATTGGTTATATAAATGATACATTTGGTTTATCATCATATATCTATAATTTAAAACAAGAACCTATACAAATACAAATAAATAAAAATAAATATTCTCATATAAATTTATTTGATATAAAATATTATTTATTAAATTCATTAAATAAAAATTTCTTTCAATTAGATGAATATTCTGGTTTAATTAAATATAATTCATTAAATAATTTACAATATAAAAAATATTCATTAATTGTTTATGCTAAATATCAAACATTAATAACATTTATACGTTTAAATATATTAATTAATAATAAAAATTTTAATAGAAAAAATTTATTACAATCAATATATGAATTTAAATTATATATACCATTTGTTAATAATTATACAATTGGTTATATTAATACAAAAAATCAAAATTTAATTATATTAAATGAAAATATTTTACCAATAATATCAATTGATTATACAGGAAGATTATTTATTAAAAATCGTACATTATTATTATTAAATGGAAATTTTTATGATTTTCTTATACAAAATGATGATTTAGAAATAATTCGTATACAAATTTTAATATTACAACAACGTGAATATATATATGAATGTAATTTAAATTATTTATATGATATTAATGATCAACAATTAATTGGTTTTATTAATATATTAAATAAAAATAATAATAATCAAACTGTATCAATGTGTTATGAAAAATCTTATTATCTTTTAAATTATAATCATTTATTTCTACTTGATCGTCAACATGGATTATTATATTATAAATATCAAAATCAAACAATTAATGAAGATTTATTACTTTTAATACAAATTGATAATTCACGATGTTTAATTACAGTTGAAAAAGATGTTTTACAAATATCATATATGATGATTAGAAATGGAAGTCAATTACATATTGATATGAAAGAAAAATATCATATTGAAAAGGTAAAGAAAAGTCGTTTGTGTTATAACACTAAGCAAAATATGATAGACTTGTATATCAGAGGACTTTATAAGATAGATTTCGATTTGTTAATTCTAATATACTGTCAATATGTCTGTAAGGAAAGATATTAATTGTAATATGGTACAAAAAATGATTGATAAGGAAGCTTCGTCAAATGTCAAACGCTTTTTGATTTCGTGAGCAGTAGTGAACAATAGAATGGTTTAGTTTTTCAAGTTTTCGTCCTTTATATATCAAAATTTTTCTGATCTTCTTAGCAAAACGTGAAGTTGAAACTCAAAAGTTGATTTTTCGAGTAGTCACAGCTTTTTTTTTTTGAAAAGCCCAACAATTCTACAGTGATTTTATATATTGAGAGGATTTCTCTCATGAGCTGCATCTACCTCCTTGCTAAGTTCTAAACTTTTTATTATATAGAATACAATATGAACGTAATGTATCGAAAATTGACTGATAGTAAAACTGAATATCGTATTAATTTTTTTTATGAGAATCTTATAATGAAAAAGATCCTTTCAGTTGATTAGTAAATGATCATAAATTCATTTCATTGATAAAAGCACATAGTTTATAAAATGTTATATCCATTCATAACGAAAAGAATCATGAAGAAGACAAAATTCATGTTGAAGAAATCATTTATGATTCGATTTAATTTAACCCATTGATTTTATCGCATTGAATATTTCATTAAAAGGTTTCTTATCTCAAGTCTAACGAAAGAATTCGTAAATCTCAATTGTCTTTTCAGAACTTTCATTTGAGATAAAATTGAATAAATATCAACAAAAATGTCCAAAATAATGGTTGTACTGTTAATTCTATATTTCAATTGAAACCTATCGAATTCAAAGTACGAAACATTTTCAGTTCAGTTCGGTTTCAACAAAAACAAACACAAATCGTCCAAATCTCTGCTCAATACTGCATCAAAACAATAAAAATTCGCACTTTTTCACAAAAGTTACTAATAATTATTCGATCTTATCCTAGAAGTAAAAAATCTAAATATATATTCGAAAGTATCGAAAACTTCTGATACTTATCCTTTATCTTTTAATATTCGAAAACTGAACAAATTTATTTGTAAGAAAATTTTCATCATTCAATATTCATCTACTTACAAGCGTAATTCTTCATTTCTATCCTTCTGATTTTAATAAGCTTTTTTTCCTATAGATACTGAATAGTATTCTAATAAATATCTTAAAAGAAATTTTTTGTAGAGACAACAAATTTTCGAAATTTTTATCTGAAAATTTATGCATATAGAAAACTCAATTAAATTAGTTGCCATAAAAGCACTCACGAGGGAACATTTCCAACTGTCACATCGCTTTTGAGTCGAGCGTATGGACATTATGTAGGCCCTAATGACTTATGAATGTCCTGAAAAAAGTTCGTGCTGCTAGCTTCTTACTGCTGAGATACAGCATTTCTACTGTGTGTTTAAGGAAAAGGCCGTGGTCCCCCTCAGGAACATCAGGAAAAGTGACTTTTGAGTTTCCACCTGAAACTTTGCATGTAGACAGGCCTCAACGAGAATAGTTTATTGTGAAGGTTTCAGATTTTTTGGTTGCTCCTAGTCTGAGATAAGAACATCGGATCTGCTGGTGTATATGAACAATTTTACGATAGCTATATCTTAGAATAGGACCAGCGAAAAGAGCTGAAACTTTCACAATAAACTATTCTCATTGAGGCCTATATCTGTGCAAAGTTTCAAGACGAAATTCGAAATTCAGTTTTCCGATGTTCCTGAGGGGGACCACGGCTTTTTTTTTTCTTAAACATACAGTAAAAACGCTGTATCTCGGCAATAATAAGCTAGCAGCACGAACTTTTTTCAGAGAATTCATAGATCGTGAGGGTCTACATAATGCGCATACGTTCAGCTTAAAAGCGATGTGACAGTTGAGAATGCTCCCTCGTCAGTAGTTTCAAAAATAAAGTCTCTTTGAGATGTACAAAGTAAGTTTTCTGAAAATCTGTTGTATTTAGATAAGTTTAGTTCAATATCAATAAGAATCCAAGTCATAGATTACTTTCTTAGTCAAATTTAACTAGTTCTAAAAATTTCAATTTTCTTATTCGAATATTTTTCTTGTTTTTTTAAGTCTTCCGGACAAATAAAACTACATAATAATACAATAATAAATTATGATATAATTCCATCTCAATCACCAATATTTTCAAAAACATCCTATGAATTTATATTAAATATTACAAATACAACAAATGAAAAAGTTTTTATCGGTCAAATATCTGCTCAACCCTATAATATAAATCGTAGTCATCTGATTTATAAATTTCTTAATCGAAATAAATATTTTCATATTAATCATACTAATGGTATTATTGAATATATACCATCAAAATTTTATAATAAAACAATTGAATATATTGAAATTGTTGCATATGATTTAATTTATAATCAAAGTACAATAATTAATATAACTATTTATATAAATAAACAAAATTTTACAACAATAATTTATCATAAAACTTTATCTGAAATTCTTCCACCTGGTTCATTAATATTTCAAACAAATTATTCTCTTGAAGAAAATTTTCATTATTCTCTTCATGATTATAATTCAAATTTATTTATAATAAATTCAACAACAAGTGAAGTATTTCTACGTAATTATTTTATTGATAAATTTTATTCATTTAAAATTTTAATAAAACCAATTAAACAAATATTTATTATTAAATTAATAATAATTGATTATAATAATAATTATCCTAATTTTTATAATCTACCATTAAATTTATCATTATCATTATCAAATAAATTTTTAACAAAATTTTCTTCATATGATTATGATATTAATTCTAATGAAAATCTTCATTATTATCTACTTAATAAAAATCAAGAAAAAATTTTTTCTCTTAATCAAACAAATGGTATATTACAATTTAATAATAAACAATATTTAAATCAAACAAATATACAATTATATATTGGTATAACAGATCATTTTTATTTAACAAAATCATATATACAAATTAATTTTTATAATTATACAAAAAATTTACCTAAATTTTCATCCGATGAATATATTTTTTATTATGATCCAATACGATCTATACTTGGACAAATAAATGCATATGATAATGATTTAAATGATGAAATTTCTTATGAAATTTATATACAATCAAATGATATATCAATTGATCGATATACTGGTGTAATTAAAATTGAAAAAAATTTTTCACTTATAAAATCATCTATAGAATTTTATGCATCAGCTAAAGATTTAGCTAAACAAATAAGTTATACGAAAATAAAAATAATCTATATAACAGAACCAAAATTTCGTTCATATATATATTATATAACATTAAATTCAATAAATATAAAAATTCCATATGAATTATATCAATTTGATATTGTTGATTTATTTAATCAACCATTAAAATCTATAAAATATCAAATAAAAAATCAAACAAATATATTTGATATAAATGATAATAAATTAATATTAAAAAATAATTTAAATTTAACAAATAATTATTTATTAAATATAAATGCATATTGGAAAAATTTTATTATACAAACATTTATACAAATACAATTTATAGAAAATTTTTTTAAATTAAATAAAAATTTTTATGAATTTAATATAGAAAAAAATTTTTTATATAATCATTATCTTATTGAAACATTTAATATGAATGAAAATATAAATTTAATTAAAATTATATCAACACCATTAACTAAATATGATTGTATAGAAAATTTTTATATTAAATTTGATCAATTATTATTTAAAACATATCCAATATTAAATGATTTATGTTTTTTTGAATTAAATTTTATTAATTATCAAAATTTAACTATTTATTCAAGTCAAATTAAAATTAATTTTATTAATTCATATTTAAAACCAAAATTTTCATCAAATATTTATTATTTTTATTCAATAAAAAAAGAAAATCTATTTCGAATATTTGCTTTTGGTTCAAATTCAATTCAATATAAATTAGATAATAATTCATATGGTTTAATTATTAATCAAATTGATGGTTTAATTACATTTAAATATGGTTTTGATTTATTTAAAAATATTGATTATATACAATTAAATGCTTATGCTATTGATGAAAAAACATTATTAAATGATACTACTTTAATTCATATTTCATTTAATGAAGAACAACAATTTGAAATACCAACAAATTATTCACAAATATCATTATGTCCTAATGTACCGATTTTACTTTTGGATCAAAGTTTACCTGGTAAGGAGGATTATCATATTGTCTCTTCTTTCAAGATATTGTTTCTAACTATAAAGGATAGAATCTATCGAGTCCGGGTCTGAAATTTTGGATCCGACAGGGTCTAGTGGTGGAGATGATGGAAACTTTTCTAACCAAGATTGTCCGATTTTCTGATAGTTTAGTTTTAGTTATGCTAGAAATTTATATGAAAGTACTTTTTATCAAATAAAAGGTCTCAGAAAATCGATAGCTCTTCCGAGACTATAGATTGGCGGTTTCTTCTGAAAACTATATGATACATTTACAAAACGATATTAGAATCGTTTTAGAACTGTTGATATACAAAACTACATAGTAGTTATCTTTTTGATTTCGTCTTATCGTATATTATTCAAATTAAGATATGGAAGAAGTATATATGTAAAAGTTGTGATAAAATTCATTATTGCATATAATTCAATATGTCTAAGAGCATCGATAGTTTTCTCAAATGTTTTTTGGGAATTATTAGAAACGAAACTGATTCATGTTGTTTGTTTGTTTTTTTTCACATTCACAATTATATTGTCTTTTAGGTACAGTCATTCAAGATGTTAGTTTTGATAATAATAGTATTCCGTATAATTATTATATTCTATCGGGAGATAAATACGGTCTATTTGCTATAAATAATCTTGGTCAACTTTATTTAACTTCACCAATGCTTAATAAAACATCTGAAGAATATTTTGAATTAACTATTCTTATATCATCAGTATCATCATTACTCTATTGTCGTACTAATATATCAATTATTCGAACACCTAATTGGTCATATTTTATTTGTCCAGCAGTAAGTCATGTTCTTTTTTCTTTTTTACATTGATTTTAAATATCAAAAAACTATTTTCATAGATACCAATTGAATGGATGATTGAAGAAGAATCTCCAATAGGTACAATAATTGGTACAGTCAAAGAAATTTTATTAGAAATAAATAATTCTTCACAATTAATTGATCAAATATCTATGAAATTAAATAATTCTAATAATGATGCACAATCATTTCTTCTTAATTCTCAAACAGGTTTGTTAATTAATTTTTTAGAATTTGTCTTATGTTTTTCGAAGTATTATAAGTTTTAAATTGAGATTTTATGTATTGACGAGCGAAATCAATCGTTTTTTAGTACCGAAATCGAGAGACTCTCATTCATATCTAGTTTTGCAACTCTTCATTCCATATCGAAGAAATAGAAGATGAACGATCATTAACAACGTTTCTATAATAATCAAGAACAACATACATAGAAATTCCACATATTCGGGTTTTAGAGAATTACATTGACAAGCATAAGAAATCTTTTTTTTTTACTTCAGGTATAATAACATCAAATTCACGTCTTGATTATGAACAAAAAAAATCTTATTCATTATCAATATTACTTGAACCAAATGAATTAAATTGTTTAATATTAATTAATATTAAATTAATTAATATAAATGATAATCCAATAATTTTTGATTTAAATTCATTAATATATAATATAACAGAAAATAATATTTTTCCATATTATATTGGTTGTATACATTTAATTGATATTGATCAATTATATTCTTATAATTATGAATTTTATCTTAAAAATAAAACTATAACACAAATTTCAATTGATTATATAACTGGTTCAATAATATTATATGATAAACTTGATAGAGAATATCATGGTTCACAATTAGAATATGATATAATAGCAATTGATAATAATAATAATAATAAAGATAATATATTAACAAATAAATTAATCATTTTAATAAATGATATAAATGATCATGGACCAAAATTTGATCAAAATTATTATACAATTAATATAAGTAAATCACTTCGACCTGATACAATTATATTTCAAATAAATGCAACAAGTTATGATCCAATTATAAATGGACATATAATATATGATTTAATTAATTCATCGGATTATTTTTATATTAATCAACAAACAGGTATAATTCGTTTAAAAAAATATCTTCTATCAACAATTATGAATTTTACATTATTAATTAAAGCATTTGAATATGATATTAATTTAACTGATTATACAAATTTATTTATAACAATTATTAATGATGATAATATATATTTTAATTTTAATAATAATAATAATAATAATATAAATTGTTCGATTGAAGAAAATAAAATTATTGGTACAAATATTTGTACAATTGGTTTTGATTCAAATGATTTTATTTATGAATTAATTGATCATATGAATTATTTTCATATATATAAAAATAATGGAACAATTATTAATAATAAAATATTTGATTATGAAATTGATCAACATGAATATAATATTAGTATTATTGTTAAAGATCGAGAAAATCAGGTAGAAAGATTTTTCTTTTTTTTTTTTTTCGAATTTGCATTAGAGTAATCATAAGAACACAAAAAAAAAGAGACATAGAAGGAAATTCTATAGAAAATTTATTTCAATTAACATATCAGAAAGACAGTAATCGCTCGTTGAGGAAAAAAAGACATTTAAAAATACCTAAAGACGAAAATTTTCAAGTTGAATAGTATTCATAAATAGAATATAACTTTCTCATATGCAAAATCATCAACTGTTTTCTGATCTGAATAGATTTCTTTTCTTCCATAGGAAAAAACTTTATTTTTCGAAACATAAGCACATGATATAAAAACCACAAAGTTCAAAATGGCTAACTTTACATGTCGGAGAAGTGACACTCACATGTTGGACAAAACATTGACTTGAACATAGTTTTACTTGAAGAGCAAATGAATTTCCGTACTGCTACATTCATGTCTCGAAGCTTTGAAATAAAGTTTTAAAAAATTTTTCTCATCATCATATCTTGTGAATTTCCTGGCATAGAGATACAGCGGTGATAATGATCAGTACTGCACCGATCTGAGGATACAAATATTGAATAAGAATAAGCCGTTGAAACTATGGTAGTCTTAAATTCATATCGAGGAAGGTTTATTTATAAAAAAAAGCTAAACTTTATAAAGCATGATTACTACTGTAATAAATGGTAGTCTATTTTCATAAGATTCAGCTATTTTTCGATCGAAAGAACTAAAATTAATTCAAAGTCTTTACAGTTTTATCTTGTGTTTGTCATCTTTACCGTTGCCATTACTATTTGAACACAATACAAAATTTATCATCTTATGAAATGAAATTTTTTTTTCTTCATTCTAGTCTATTATATTATCTTCACTAAATCTAACAATTTATATTTATAATATCAATGATAATAATCCTGAATTTCTAAATAGAAATTTAACAACAATTCTTTATTTATTCTATCCATCATTAAATACAATTATTCATACAATTGAAATCATAAATAAAGATCAATTAAATTTAAATATTGAAATTCTTAATGATACATATTCATCATATAAACTTCAAACATCATTAAATTTTGCTGAACTTATTCTAATTGATTCTATATTTATCGATCGTGAAGATTATCTTATTATACGTTTATGGAATAATAATAATAATATATCTTATTCTATGGATTTATATATACATTTAATATATGCTCAACGTTCTATTGATTATCCAATAATAATTCCTCAAACAATTGATGGTTATATAAATATTGATGAAAATTTTTCATTAATTAATTTTGGTCAATTATTTATTAAAAATCATTCTGAATATAAATTTATTTATTTTAATTTAAAATCTAATGAATATTTTTTTCTTAAACAATTATCAAATAATCAAACTGAACTTTATTATAATTCATCATTACAAAAATATTCTCAACAACAACAACAACAACAAAAATATCGTTTATTACAATATCAAATTGAATTAAATGTTATTGCTATAAATCAATCAATACCAATAATAAATTTTTCACAAAATTTTATAATACATTTTACAAAAACTTCAAATTTATTATTAAAAACACATTTAATTGATTTACATTTATGGCCTATTGATCGTGAAATGTTAGAACGTTCATTATCAATAATAATTAATTTAAATTCTCATACAACATATGAACAATTTATTATTTATAGTTTACCATTAATACGTGAATATTTATCTGATATAATTGGTGTTAATATACGTCATGTACATATATATACATTTGATTTAAAAAATGAACAACAAATTGAATTACTTATTGCTATTATACGTTATCCATCACGTTTACGACCACCACGTTATATACATAAAAAATTACTTTATAATGCATTAAAAAATATAACAAATTTATTTGAAAAAATTCCAAATATTAAATCAATTGAAAAAATATTTATTAATCAATGTGATTTTAAATCATGTGAAAATAATGGTCGATGTACAAGTCATATTAAATTAATTAATCAACAATATAATTATTTTTATTATAAAACATATCAACGTTTAATACCTAAATATCAATGGAATATTAAATGTTTATGTTTAAATCATTATTATGGACAATATTGTCAATATAAACAAAATTATCAATCACCATGTTTATCAAATCCTTGTTCATCATTAGAAAGATGTATTGAAGAAAGTTCAACATTATATACATGTCAATGTATTGATGAACCATGTAATAATAATGAAATTTTATTAGAAAATACATTAGATTGTATTAATATTAATTCACCAACATGTCGAGGTATGATTATTAAGATTTTTTAAATTATTTTCTTTGTATATTCTCAATTGCCAATAAAGTAAAATCAAGGGAATGAAAAAGATAAAACTTTTCATATTATGAGATAATCAATGTAGATTATGCAATTTAAAAAGTGATAACCTATATGATTCCATTGTTATAATGTGCACTATACCGATAGTCGTTTACTATTTAATTATTTTGATGGTGAAGTTTGGAAGAAGACGTTTTCAAAATTTACTTAAAGAGTGAAATTGGAATATAGTATAATAGACTTTTTTTAATATTTGATATGTTCTGACATCCATACGATTCAAGGGAGAAGGAGCGAAAATGCCGTACTTCCTCGTACTTCCGGACTATGTCGTAACTATGCATCATATCTCTTTAGCTATTTCAAGTCTACTATTGACCTGTGCTACGGTATATTAATCGGAGTCCACCTTACTTTAGTCAACTACATCCTAAAGCTCGAATACTTCATGATACTTCCAATTTGGAAGTATCATGAAGTATTTGGACTTTTTTGTCAGATAGACTTACATAGGCTCGACTCTGGCTAATATATCGTAACACAGGTCGATAGTAGACTTGAAATAGCTAAAGAGATCTAATGTACAATTATGATATAGTCTGGAAGTACAGGAAGTACGAGGAAGTACGGCATTTTCGCTCCTTCTTCCTTGATACGATTAGTTACAATATTGCAATTTTTAAGTCAAGTTAAATTGTAAGAATTATAATTGTCAGTACTATATCATATTAATAATATTGTAAAAATCTCGACAATCTACCTTTGACATATCGAAGATTCTTTTCATGAAACTCAATCTAAAAGACTGTATCAATAATGTCCTGTTCTAATATTTTATATGAACTATTTTCTTATAATATTTCTGGAAGGTTATTGAAGAAATATATTCCAAAACAGATAGAATATAAAAGTAAATTTCCTGTGCTTCAAATTTTAATCCCACGAGGCTAACGCTAACAGTTCCATATTAGAGTAGTATTCTAATTGAAATCAAAAAGAAAATATCTGATCATATTTGAAGTTTATTCTAACGAATGATATAAATTACTTTAATTTAATTTAAAAAAAAATATATTTTGTTTAGATTCATCAAATACTTTAACATTTGATGGTTATAGTTTTGTTCGTATGAATATGACAATGAATTTAACTGAACATATAAATCTAACATTCACATTTCGTACTCAAGTTTCACAAGGAAAATTACTAAAATTAATAACATATGATGAAAATAATCAACAAAATTTATTAATCATTCAAATAAAAGATGGTTATATTAATTATCAATTAAATAAAAAAATTCTTTTTCAATTAAATGAAATATTAATAAATGATAGTTTATGGCATCATATTTATTTTTCAATCGATTATATATCAAATAATAATAATAATAACTATTATTATTATTATCATATACGTCTTGATCATGTATTTAGTAGTAAAATTCATATATCACAAAAAATTTTATTAAATGAAATAAAAGAATTTATTATTGGTAATGATTTTCATGGTTGTTTAGGAAATTTAACAATAAATAATCAAATAATTTATTTACAAAAACAAAATAATAATCATTTAATTGAACATATTGGAACAAATAATGGTTGTCAATTAGCTGAAATTGAAACACGTACATTAAGACATTATACAATTAAAGATGATATTTGTTCATTATATCATCCATGTTATCATGGTGGTTTATGTTTAAATCAAAATAATAAATATGGTTTAAGTTTTACATGTAATTGTTTAAAACCACGATTTTCTGGTCGACAATGTCAATATGATTTACAACCATGTTTAAGTTATCCATGTTTATTTAATGAACAATGTATTTCATCATCATCATCAACAATAGATCATTTAAATCAATCATATACATGTATATCATCATTAATTAATTTACCAATATCAACTAGAAATTCTTTATATATTGGTTTAGCTTTAATTTTTTGTACATTTATATTATTTTTTTTACTTTGTCTTTCGTTAATTATTTATTGTCAACAACAACGAAAAGATAAAAAACGAAATGAAAATATAAATCATGATAAACCATTTGTATCAGCACCATTATTAATACAAAAATCATCACCAAAAACAACAAATACAATTGAAAGTCCAATACAAACATTATTAAAATTAAATCATAATGGAAAACAAACAATTGAAACTATGGCACTTGTTGATCATAATAATCATCAACAAACAATAATGAATAATTTTAATGATAAAGTATATAAAAAGTTTTATTTTTTTTTTGAATTTCGAAGAATATAGCATGTTTTATTTTTTTCTCTCGCTCTCATATACACGGTAATAAATTTCTTAGAAATCATATCAAATAAAAAACACAAAAACAAAAAGATAATCATTATCTATACTAAGTTTTGACTTTGATGGTTTCAATCAATGCTATTCTTGTTAGTTCCACGAAAATAAATCATAGCTAGGATCGATTCGGCTTGAAAACAAAAAAAATGAACCGATCTCATATTTGAAAAACGAAAATATTGTTTTTGTTTTGTATTGAACTATGTATAAATTCTCTATATTCGTTTTCTTTCATTTAGAATTTAATAAAGTTTAAGTCTATCAAAATTAAAATTCTTTCAATAATTATTATTCTTATTTTTTAGGCAGTTAATAATCATTTAAATAAATCATCACAATCAATTGATAAACATCAATATCAATCTCATGAGTCATTAAGTCGTCGTCAAGTAAGTTAAAAATCAACTTACAATAAAGATTAAATATTATGTTTTAATCTAGAGTGATCCGAAATATTATTCAACAATTGGAAGAATGAATATTCCACCAGATAATTTTCTTATTCATTATAATAGTATTGATTATGGTTTGTGATTATGAAATTTTTCTTATTTATTAGAATTACATTTTTTTTCTTTTTATTTTATAGATAGTACACGTATGCCACTAGTTGATCCACAAGCAACAGATTTATTTGATTGTAAGTATTTTTCTCAGTGTAAAATAAATTTATATCTTTTTTTTCGTTATTGTTTTTTTAGTTCCAGCATCACCAACAAGTAAGTTTTATTGTTTCTTATCCTTTTTGATAAATATAGTAATTAACACTATTGTTTCGATTGGCTTTATTCGTTTTATTGTTTTTTTTGTTGGTTGATTTTACTATGAGTCAATTGGACTCTATAGTAATATTCTTTATTGATCTTTAGAGAATATAATTCCATTAAATCGTGAATAATTAAAGAAAATATACAATAGAATGACATTCAATTGACAAGTTAAGAACAATGTCTAAAACTATCTTTCATATTTGGAAATGTTAATTGAATTTGAGATCAATAAATCTATATTGAGATAAATGAAGATAATTGAAATACAACAAAAACAGCGGAAATAACTGCCTCAATGAAGTGCTGCTACTCTTCATGATATAGTGCTGATGTTTTGGGTGAATTTGTACGACAATAAACTATGATCCGTAAATACCAATCGACCTTGTATTGGTTCTCATGCAGTGAAGTTATGGTTTAGACATCATCTTATCTCAACTGTATTAGCACAAATATTTTCATTAAACTCTTTACTTGACTGTCGTAATTATTATCTCAAGTTCGACTTTTGTCAAAAAATCACTTTGATATAATTGAGATGTTATCTTCTGATTTAGCATGTCCGTTGAAAAGTAAATGTTAATTTTTAGTAAGATGAATCTTTTCCAGAATAACTATAATCAATGCATTCGAAACTTTGTTTGAGAAAGTTCATATGATATCTCAGAGCATGCCTAATACTAAGATCTTATCTACACATCACGACCTTTCGTGATAATCAAGATGAGACATGGGAATGCCTTTAGTACTAGAAAAGAAAATAATAGTACCTTGTGAAATAGCAAAATGACAATCAAACACGTTTTGAGTACATATTCCCACTAAATGTATTTTTTTACAAGAGAAAGATGTGGCAATCGATGGAGATTGGACTAGTTCTTACGATCAGGATTTATTTTCACAGGCTTGCACCTAAAATATCAAACTCAATATCATAACGAATAAAACTACTTCATGTGGGACAGTGACTTTTGTGTAGGATTGTATTTGTATCTAAATTTTTTTTTCTCTAATATTCTAATAGAATATTTCAATGGTCATAATGATGAAAATCCTAATACTTATCAAACGGGTTTAAATTCATTGTCTAATTTAACTGAAAAATTAGCTGAACAAAATGATATTGATTTAACACAATCATCCAATGATTCATCAAATAATGAACAAACATTACTAACATCACCAATAATAAATAGTGAACGTAAACGTTCATTATTTAATGGTGGTAGTACACATAGTATACGTGCATCAACATCATCATTACAAAAAGCACCTGTTTATGCTAAAATTATTAAAAGTAAATTAAATTCATTTCAAATGAATAAATTCACGTTACTATTTTTTTTGGCCTCTTTTAGCATCATCAAAACCAACAAATAGTAGTGGTATGAGTACAATTGAACGTCTTCGTTTAAGTGGTTCACCACTTCGTCTTCTTTCATCATCACCAACATATACACGTACAACATCATTTTTAAAATCAAATACAAATAATGACAATAATAGTTTTCAAACATCATCATCATCATCAATAAAACATAATAAAATCAATACAACATCATGGAAATTAAATCCAAGAAAATTAGATAGTTTAAAAGCAAGACGTAATAGTCGACATACAGATGATGATGATGATGATACTAATAATAATAATAATACGAATAATAATGAAACAAGTCAATTAACAATGACAACAACGATAAATCGTTTTAGACATGCAAGTGATTCTGATTTAACTAAAGAACATATGAACGGAAAGAAATCAACTAAATTATCATCTTTTTTTCAAACTGAAGTATAGTCACTAAATATATATATATATAAATATAAACAAAACAGTATATGCCTTATAATTGTTGTTGTTATTGTTTGTTGTTCTTGTTTTGTATTTGTATATCCCAATTATAGCCCGGTGTTGTTTTTCTTTTCTGTTTCTTTCTTTCTCTCTGTCTCTTTCTTGCTATACTATACGAAATATTACATAAATAAATGTGCACGAATTTTCATTTATCTGTACAATATTTTCATCTTCTGTCTTTTTTTAAATGAATATATAAAAATAATGATAAAATTATCATTAATTAATAAGAGAAATAAATGTTCTTTTATGCAGTGTATATATATACCCGATGATGAATAGGTAACGTTGATAATATAGTTCACTTGCATGATGCTGTTTGTGAACTTTTCTTTTATAAGGTTCATATTGGAATTGAGTTATAAGACGAAGTAATCAATCTTCAAAATTGTTTTGTCATCAACATAGATAGACAGGATAATGTGAGCTTTAAGAGAAGCCTAAAAGTTCTATGTGTCTAATTTTTCTTAGGAAATGATGAAAAGTCCATATTTAGATGTTTCTTAACATTAGTATGGTTTTGTCAAAAAATGTAGTGCAGAGCTCTAACATGTCTTATTTTGTAGAAAATCAGTTGCTGTGTCTAATCAGGAGACACTTTTATTTTCGATTTCTATATGCTAAAAAAAAAAACCAGACTTTTGGTTTTCTAGAGATCTTGAGTTCGGACAATGCTGTGAAGATTTTATTTGCCTCAAATCTTTGTTGGAAACTATTTTTCTTCATGCAAGATATTATTTGGATTCTTTATGCTAATTACCGTTACTGAAGGAAAAGAAATTAAATCTGTAGGATTAATTGTTGGAGTCATTTTATGATACTTTTAACTAAAAGAAATCGTGCATGCTAATCAAGTCATCACCAGTGTCCGACGTGATCAAGTTTTTCGGTCACAGTCATTCTTTCCAGTTTATTACACGTGGCGATTTATTTCCTTCAATGATGTTGTGATGAAAGTTCGATAAAATCAAAAACAAATAAAAATGATGAGATTATTAACAGAGGAGACAATTGCTCTTACTTAATTAGATTCGGTTTAATTATATAGTAACATTTACATGTGTTTTCGTTTAACTAAGAATATACAATGGTCTGTATTGTAGAAAAACTAATCCAATCAAAACATGCGAAGAATGTGTGACTGTCTCAATACTCGTGACTGTGATAATCATAAGTTACGGCGATCACATCGGGCACTAAGTCATTAATTTTTCGTACTAAAACATGATAGGACGATTTGATGAAACAAATGAAGAGAAAATTGAATTGAAAACATAGTTATTTGACCATTCAAATTTGTTTTGAAAGGAAAGGAATTACATAAAAACAACCTCTTTCTACGAGTACCTTCTTGTCCTGAACAGTGGGCACTTATTTCTAGTTTCATGAGCAACACATGTTCTATCATTCAAATGTTGAACGAGAAAAAAAAATGATGTTTAGTGCATTGTGTTATGATAAACAATCATGAGACAGGATATCGATTAGTCGTGGATATTTGAAAGAAAAACAAGAACAATACTAGACAACAACAGTGTTTGGTATAACATCTTATTGGTTTGGTGTTAACAGCTAGTAAAATCGAATAATGTCAACATGTATGAATTTATCTGTGATTAAAAATAGTTTGAAAAGAAAAAGAAAACCAAAAGCTTGCCAATAATAAGTACTTTTGGTCAATTGCAATTGTGCTTGCATTAGAGAGGTTTTACTGTAAAGAATATTTCCAACGACCATTGATATCAAGTAGATTTGTAGAAAAAAATATTGATGAATTAGTAAATCGAATTTGATTCTTACTGAAAAGTATCAACAACGTTCAAGTGTTAACAAATATGGTTCGAAAATATTTTGTTCTGTATAACAAAATCAATACAAACGAACTAATTTATTCAAATATGACATTTTTAAATTTAATTTAACATATAGATTTGTTAGAACTGTTCTAAAGTTTATCAAGAATATTTTGATGACTTATGAGCAATTGCATGAAAATTAGATTAGAAATTATGTAGAAATTGATAATTATTAGATCATACCTGTCAAAAATCCTTCATATAACTCTCTCAAAGAAAATAGAAACAGAAAAGAAATGAATTTTTTTAACTAGAATTCATCGAGATGGATCATTTAAGATATTTCATTTTTTTGTCAACTATATCTATTTTATTATTTTTTTCTTTTTCATATAAAATAAAAAAAAATAAAGTCTTCATTTATTCCAGAGTAAAAAAACAAGGTATTTTAATAAATAACATGCTTTAATGCATGTTAAGAAGAGGTACAAAATGATTAGGTAGCCATTCTTTTTTTTCTTTTGAGTATCCAACACTGGGTCTACTACAATGAGAAAAAAGTAGTTTAATTTCTTTTACTATCAATGATGTTCCTGATTTCTTCTCTTGATTATTATCAGCGTGATCTTCTCTCAATGGCACAAATTGAGCATTATTGAGATATTGGTAATTTAAATCTTCTAAACCATTGACTTTCGGATAAGCACAAATTAAATGAATATTCAATACAGTTGGTATACTGAGTAGATCCCAAACAGCTGCATAATTTGTATCACGTACCATTTCTTTGCTAACATAATTTTCAAATTCATCAAGAATAGGTGATATACTATCATATTGAGACCTATATACATCTATGTTAAGAACAAGCTCAACAACATTTCTTGCTCGAAGTTCAATTGATGTTAAAATAGATCCATCAGTAGTTGAACCTATTCCTCCTAATTTAACAAATGTATTATAAAAACAATTTCCATCACCGGCAATTGATAATGGTATAGAATTACGAAAATTTTTATCACAATATTGATGTATATAATGTTCAGCAACAGGATCACGTACATGAATAGCTGGATCAAATACCTTAGCTGGAGTATAAATCAGTGAATATAATTTTAAAACTGGTTTTAATAATTGACATTCTTGTACAAGTTCAGCATATGATTTTTCACTAGCTACACGTAAATTTGATAAAAAAAGTTTAAATACATGTGGACGTGCCAATTGTGAACAATCAAGACATAAATTTTCTCGATCAGCAGGTAATTTTTGTTGTTTACAAAGAACACAAGTACGAGCTGATGGTTTTGGTGGTACGGGTGGTGGTATTTTAGATTTTTTCGGTTCTTCACTTTTATCTTCGCTAGTTTCATCAGTCTTATTTGCGCCTTGATTTATTTGTTGTGCATAATCAGTCCATTCTTGAACGAAAACATCATATGTAGAACGTTCATATAAAACAAATCGAACATCTTTTACATTATATGAAAATCGTCTTATTGAATCAATAGCCACACGAGCTGCTTCATCTAGAGGAAAATGATTTGCTCCACATGATATTGCTGGGTATGCAATCGAAGTAAGTTGATAAATATTAGCAAGTGCCAATGATGTATAATAGCATGATTGTAATAAAAAGCCAGCACGTTCTTTCTCTGTTTCTGTATAAATTGGACCTACAGTACTTATAACAAAACGTGCATCGTTTTGTTCACGATTAAATTTTCCAATAAAAATACGTGATTGTCCAACAGGACATGAATTTGCTTGCATATCTTTATGAATAGCAACGACTTGATCTGTAAAAAATTGACCCATCTTTTGATGTATACGAGCATCCAATCCTCCATCGGGAATCAAAAGTGTATTTGTAGAATTAACAATAGCATCACATGCTTCTTCACTTAAGTCACCACATCGAATGATTACCTCCAATGAACCATTAGTAAATGAAAAACGAATACAATCTTCATTAATTTTTTCAATATTACTAAATAAATAAATACTAAATGCTTTCTATATCTCATAGAGTTAATACTTACATGCCAGACATATTTATAAAAAAAGTATCTTTTAACAAAACAAAAAAGAAACTAACTATTTTCGAAAAAAGAAAGTATCTTTAAATAGGAAATTTAATTTTCCAACTTGTCGCTCATGACTAAAGTAAAAGTCGTCATCTGATTTCTTTTTCTTTTTTATCAAGATGTATGCTGACAACATAACCATCGATTCCTTTTTTTCTTTTCTGTTCTTGTTTTTAAAAACAAAAACACACAACCACGTGTTATGGTAACCAATGTCAAACATAGCATACCTTTTATGTCAACAAAGATAAAAATAAAATCTACAAGATCACATATTTCCAAGTATATTTTTTTCTTTTGATAAAAACAAAAAAGAAAGAAACTGACATCTCTACTTTTACACATTATTAAAAAAAAAAAACAATGTCTGATAAATATCATAAAACAGTACAATTTAAGATTCATTTTTAGCAAAGTGTTGCGACTGATTCATGTCGATAACGACGAAATTCAAATTCCACATCAATACGATAAACTGCTGTAAGAATACAACTAATAAATATACAACATGTACCGGCTACAAATGACCAAAATGAGAAACCATACGCGGTTAATGTTTGAAGACGTTCAAAACCAAGAAATAATGCTAATGTAATCAATGCCAATACGACTTTAAATATAAAAAGGATGAAAAAAAAACAAAAACAACAATACAAAAGAATCTACGTACCAGTAAGAATGTCGGCAATTAATAAACATTCAACCATACGTTTAGAAAAACGAAAATTGTTAAACGATGCATTTGTATTAATTAATTGAGTAAGAAGTAGAGCAATGATAGCAGCAAATACACAACCAAATGACATACCGATCAATATTTTTTGATAGTCTGTCCATTGTTTTGTTTTGTTTTAGAAAAAAAAAACAAAAAAGAGAAAAATTCAATATACATACAAAATAAGAATACAGATTTTTGCATATGCTTTTATTTTTAGCTAAGCCTTATTTGAGAACATGATGTCATCGAAATTAGGTCGACATAAGACTGTAAATTTTTCAAAACTCATGATCAAGTCCGCGTTTTCATGAATCCGAACCTTCCTAGGTGAGAATAAAGGTA